AACTACCAGCGAGACTTCCAAAATGGCAGAGACCTTGCACACCACTGGCCTACTTTTGGGAGAAATAGGAGGCCCGCATGCAATCCCCAGGGCCAGAGACTCTGCCCAATGATCTGCCATAGAAACCAGCACGGGTGGCCCAGCAGAGAGAAGCAGAATCTCCGCCCAACTATACACCTGCGAAAGGCCAGCACCAGCAAGGGGCTCTCTTGAGGCCATACTTGAGGAGTCTGGCAGAGAGCAGCTACAGACAGAGACCAGCTAAATGAAGAGGTGGGAGAAAGCAGATGGCACCTCGACGGCGCAGGCGCCACTTTAAGACATGACAACCCCCTTCTGGACCACAGTCCACACAGGGACAAGCACGGCTCCCAACCCCGGGTACTCGACACTCATCGAAGATGCTGGCCACAAGCAGAAGAATCCCGAGATCCCGTCCAGACCGCTGGAAGCAGACAGACAAGTGAGGAACAAGTGCTGGGCTGTACCAGAGACTGGGGTTGGTGGGGTAGCTGTGAGGGGAACCAGTATCTTATTATGCATCTGGGAAGGATGCACGGATCAGTGGTCATAGGATGAACACCCCCCTCAACATAGGGCCTTACTCTCCTTAGGCCTATTGGCCCATATAGGGTAGTGTCTATCCCGCCACCCCCTTTTCAGTCATTTCTGGTTTGAGCGTTACAGCACAACTTAGTGGCATTACTATAGTTAATATCCTGGTGATACTCATAGGCACTGCACCAACATTAACTGACCAACAGTTATGTATAAATAGGGGCATAAATTCTCGGGATGAAAATATAATTTTGCCTCTTTATAAATCGTTGGTAAGACCACACCTTGAATATGCTGTGCAATTTTGGGCACCTGTTCTAAAGAAGGATATCATGGCTCTGGAGAGGGTCCAGAGACGAGCTTCAAAATTGATAAAAGGAATGGAGCATTGTAGTTACGAAGAGAGGTTAAAAAAAATTAAATCTGTTTAGTTTGGAAAAACGGCGCCTGAGAGGGGATATGATAACTTTATACAAATATATTCGGGGCCAGTACAAACCTTTATCTGGAAATCTATTCATAAACAGGACTATACATAGGACACGAGGTCACACATTTAGGCTGGAAGAAAGGAGATTTCATCTAAGGCAAAGAAAAGGTTTTTTTACAGTAAGAGCAATAAGGATATGGAATTCTCTGCCTGAAGAGGTGGTTTTGTCAGAGTCACTACAGATGTTTAAACTGCAATTGGATAAATACTTGCAAAAACATAACATACAGGGATATGATTTCTAATTAGTGGGGTAATAGCTGCTTGGTCCAAGGAGACATCTGACTGCTATTTTGGGGTCAAGAAGGAATTTTTTCCTAGTTTGTTGCAAAATTGGAAGTGCTTCAGACTGGGTTTTTTTGCCTTCTTTTGGATCAACAGCAAAAACATATGTAACACGCTTCCAGAGCCTCCTGTCACCCTATCTCTGATTACCACTAGCATTGTGTCACAGCCTGATGTATTTTCTATGCTTCTCAGGTTCTAATTTAAAAACAAAATGTGCGATCTCTTCGCTTGCCATAGAAATGTTTCATATTACATGACAATTGACTGCTTAGTAATGCTGTTGTGGCAATATAAGCTCGCTTATAATCTCTTGCACACAAAAATAAAGATTTTTTAATTTTTTTTTTAAAAAGTAGAAATCGGCACCTCTTTATCCACCAATTATTATTCGCATTGTGTGCCCTGGCAATGATTGTACTAAACTGGATAATGAGGTAATTTGGTAAATCTTTTATATAAATTTAATGGAAAATGTTCATGAAAATTTTAATTTTCAATGTTTTATAACAGAGAAGTGACATTTCCCCTTTAAGAAACTAATGAATGCACTGTTTACATCTGTATAAAAAACTTCATCCAACCAGACATGAATCAACATAGTATATACAGCGTAGTTAGCGTTGTACATCAATTCTTACATTGTTTGCATCCTTCCGCACTATATGTACACTTTATTCTCTCCTCCCAGTGTGTATTATTCAGTTACATACTCTCCTTCCATAAACTTTTATTTTCTCTGTCCTCACCATAACAACTTCAGCTTAACAAGGCCATTTTTGTGTATGAATCATGGCCCTGCAATCTCATTGCTCAATTCTCTGCCATTTAGAAGTATAAAAAGGTTTATACAGCTCTAGCTACATCTTCCTGCATGTGACTTGCACAGCCTTCCTAAACACTTCCTGTAAAGAGATATGTAATGTTTATACTTCCTTTATTACACGTTCTGTTTAATTTACAATTTCTTATCTCCTGCTGTGTAAATTGAACTTTAGGTTAGTTAGTTACTTAGTTACTATCTGATTAAGAGTGAAACCATTTTGCTTTCATGCAGGCTCTGTCAGTCACAACCAGGGGAAGTATGGCTAGGGCTGCATAATCAGAAACATGTGATTTAACTCTTAAATGGCCAAGGCATGATCTATACACCAAAATTGCTTCATTAAACTACAATTGTTTTGGTGACTATAGTGTCCCTTTAATTTCCATCCGGCATGTGTTACACCCTGTCTCCCCCGCGTGCATATTTAATGTATATCCAAATTAATCTCCTACTTCCACTTTGTGCGTTTCTTTACAACCTCAGTTGGCACCCAAGTGATGGGTGAAGCGTAATCAACTCTCTCTGACACCACTTAATATTCAAATTGCTTTCTCCATAACTTCCTCTGAAACCTTGGTGGAATAGGGTGTTGGGAAAGGTGGCGCATTTGGTTGGCATAAATGGAGTAAGAATTTTTCAAGATTTAAAGCAGGCTTATAATTTATCTTCTATGAAAATATTTACATACTCAAGGATTCAAAATGTAACTCTTCAATTCAAATTAAAATAGGTGAACCCAGTCACAATCAATTTGTTTGGAAAAAAAGCTTATTTTACAAAACAGGTGGGTAAAACCGATATCTATCTGCTATAGCAGTCTGCAAGTAGCATTGAACCCCTCAAATTTGCAATGTATGGTACAGTGGGGAAAAAAGAATTACAGCACACCTTCCCCCTTGAGACATGGCTCGTAGCAGTTAGACATATGGTTTGAACTTGGCGATGTTTAGGACATTGGGTGACACATTGTCATATCCTTAGAATTTGGTACTTGGTCCCACAACGATTAGCAAGGATATATCCAGGAGCAGATCAGAATTGTTGAAGATGTGGGGGAGCCCCGGGCACCATTTTATATATTTTTTGAGAGTGTCCGCTTTTAATCATGTTATGGAAGGCGATATATGATCTCATTTATAAAACAACGGGTTTTGATTTGGTTTTTTTAAATGCTCGCTGAAGTTTTTCTGTTCAATATGTTAGATCACCAGGTCTGCGGTCCAGGTAAGACAGTAGTCATGCATATCATAACAGCTCCTATTACTTCGATAGCGCAGGCGTGGGGAGCAGCGGAACCCCCCAGATCTCCACCAAGTTCTGAGCCGTTTAAAATCCACTAGGATATATGAGGAGATTTCTTTTAGTAACATAACTAAGCAGATTGGAGAAAATATGGAAGAAGTGGTTTACGCGGTAGAAGTGGCAGATGAGGTGCGCAGGTCATACCTAAATTATATGGATTAGAACGGTCTGCGGTTGTTTGTTTTTCTTTCTTTCTTTTTTTTTTTTTTATTCATTATTGCATTTTGTTACGGTACATATAGCCCTACAAACTGTAAGGATAAGCGGTTATTTGTTAGAAAGCTAAATATTGACAACTAGATGAATTACATTATTATATAATTTTTATGAATCATTTACGATAAGTTTTTTTTTTTTTCATTGCCGCGCATGCGCATTCGGTCTCCCTCACTGGGGCCGGCGGCAGGGGAGGAGCATGGGCCAATGTTCCTCGGCGCTGGAATCAGGTAAGTGGCAGAAGGGGCTATTAACCTTGACAAATGGGGGAAGCTATAGTGCCAGAAAAACTAATTTGTTTTCATGAAACTCCAGTTTCCCTTTAATTCTGTGTATGACAGCTTGGTGAATAAAACAGTTAATAATAACTTTAATAAAAATGAAAAAAATAAAGGAAGGATCTGTCACCATTATAATCATTTTATTTCTATACCCTTGATATTTGTCAGCTTGCTTTGTTAATATTCTGTTGCTTTGATCCGTAATTATCCAACACTTGTCAGTCAAGAAGAACATCGATACTTAAAATAGCAGAACAGACTCTGCCAGATCTGTAGTCTGCTTTAGAAGCAACATCTTATTTTACATATAAAGCCCCACACTCCTCAGATTGCCTGGTGTCTGGAAACTCTTCACATCATAAAGGTAGTTGTGATTTGCTCACATTCAGTGTATAATTTCCCTTTAAGAGTGTAAGCCGTGTGGTTTTACTTTGATATTTGGCTTTGAAACTGAGTACTACTTTTAGATTTGCAGAAGTCAACACACCTCAATGTAATATAATCCAATCTAAACCTTTCTGGAAAAAAGCTACGTTACATTTATCTGTCTTTATATATTAAATAGAAAATGATTTACCACCTCGGAAAGCATAGTGTTAAGCCCTGTGTGTCTTTTTCAGAGTTCTACTAAGCTTACAATTCTGTTTGGCACTTTATCCGTTGTCTGTCATTACATATTCCATAGATTGTGTGTGCTTTTATATATGTGATGTAAAGTCAATAAAGAGGCACCTCTGCCACCAAGAATGGAGCCGCTAGAAGAAGGTGGGGCTCAAGCCTTTATCATAAAATTAAAATTAAAGCTAAACCCAGTATAATAAGTGTGGTGTGCTATGAAAACGAGGCCACATTTCCTTTACCCCTTAAAATTCTGAGTGGCTGTGTAAGACTTTCATTGACACCAGTTGTGCATTTGTTTGGCATTTACAATACACTGCTTGTCCTATAACAGCAGCCAGCACCTATGGAAGAGATTCCCATTTTCTTTTAATGGTGTTTACACAAAGATTGTGTTGAGCATTGTTGTGCTGGGTGAGGATGGATCTGAGCTAGTTTAGTCAGTGCCTTATCTGCATCATATAACCATAATATGACACGTATTCCTAGTAGGTGGATAGGGCTTTCACAGCAGGTAAGGCAGAGCTGCGTCTGTCATTCCCCCCTGCAGCTCCGCTTGCTATGACACTCATTGATTTTTAGCCATTTGCAGTAACCGGCTTTCCCCTCTAAACGGGAAACTACTGAGGTGATTGACAGTTAGGCTGTTTGCTTTGAGCTGGCCTTGTTGACTAATAATGAAGCTTTGCGAAGCCATGATGGATATGGAAATGCCAGACTACACAGAAACCCTGGACTCCTCGTACACCATGCTGGAATTTGACAATATTCGTGTTTTACCAACGAGTGCCGGTAAGTTAGCCATGCTTGTCTATGGCAGGAATAGCTGTGTACATACATAGTGCTATCGACCAGTTCTGTTTTAACAGATATTCAGTGTGAGACTACCTTCTGTGGCCGCCATGTCTCTTGCGATGCCGTAAGAATAATTTCATTTCATTTCTACTAGTTCATTCATGCACTGTGGAGTGTAATAATGATGTCAATAGTGTATTAGGAGACAGCTTTTGTTGAGATTTCGTTTGTTTTCAGTTAAGTGTCGGTGATATATTGTTTCATACATAGTTATAACTGGATTCATCAAAACGATTACTCAGAATGTATTGGGTCAAAGTGCTAAGTTTTACCTGTCCATAATAATGAATATCTGTCAACATGTATTGGATTGATGTACAGTGGGTACTGTGATAAGAATTTTCCCGCAGTGTGTGTGTGTAATGTTGTTTAATGATTATAATGTGTAGAGTATGAAATTGTAAGAACCTTTAAATCTGAGTATAATGCCACGTTACAGTTGGCTCAAATGATATGAACATTTATAAATCCACTATCATGGCATTTATCCTCTTTTTATATTCGTATTTCATACAGAATAGGATAACCTGTTTCACATAGTATTGTTTCTATTCGTATGAGTAGGTAGTATGTATGTGTGCATTTGGCTGGGTGCACAAAAATCACTTAAACATTTTTCCAAAAAGATCCAGCACTGCCGAAAACCAACGTGATTTTATTTTGTGCACAACAGGGAGCTCACAAATGGTAACGATTGGCTCACATATTTTATTTGGAATGTATTACTGATGTGGCAGTACTAGAGGTCTGTGCAGCGCCCAACTTTAGTATACGGTCATCCATTTTGTTTTGTACATGGATTAAAATTTAAAAAAAAATTACATTTTTTTATTAAAACCAACAGAATGCAGTTGCATTATTTTATTAGGCTCCTGTTATTGGTGAATAATTGTATAACTGTAAATAATCGTTAATGAGTTTTTCTTGCTCACAATACCTGCAGCATGTTGATGTAGTTTTTCTTGTAAATATCTCTAGGATAATATAGCAGTTATCTAGATTTCTAAAGATCTGCAGTGCGGTTAGTTGATCAGCCACTCTGGCATTCAATCCATTGTTTGCGTCAATTTATCACATTGTCCCAGATTTTCCTTTAATAGTTGTGGCCCCGTTTTTCCTCCTCCTATTACAGACACCGAGTTAATTATAATTGTACATTAAATGCTACAAGTGAAACCCAACACATTATTGTTACTTGTTATATTGTTTTATGACCGATATAACATTATTTGTGTAAATTCTATTCTTTTGCCATGTTTTAGGCATTTTTGTTACACTGCTGATAATGCTGTTTCTATGCTTTCCTACAATCTGATAATGTTAATAAACAGATATAGATATATATGTTTAACACACACACGGCTGATAGAGTAGGACCTGCCAAGAGGGGTACATTGACGTTGTGGCAGGTTTATGCAATATAAACCCCCATTATTTTTTGCCTCGGTGAGGTGTTTTTAAATGAAACGATTACAATCTGTGAGATTTGAAGTCATTGTTTAGTGAATAAGCGAGTGCGCTGGATTCTGTATTTTGGATGTTGTGTATATTGACCCCCAGCAGCACTCTATAACGTGTGCATGTTCAGGTGAGAGCAGCCCTCTAGGTTTACGTTATATATACTTTGTGGAATATATTTATATTTGACAAACTTGGCTTTTCAAGTTATTGTGCTGCAGTTTAGGAATTCTAAATGAGAGTCTATTACAGTCATCAAATCAAACCGTATAAAAGAGATGTGAGGATTGTTTTTGGAGCCGATATAAATAGATTTGTAACTGAGAGTAGAACAAACGTTTACTTCCTCTATCTTTTAAAACTGCCATTTTAAGACCGTTTTTGTTTCTACTTTATAGAAAATATTTTTGTTTTTGTCGTGATTCAACAATCAAAGTACAGATGCATTTATAATTTCTCTCTTTTTTTAGAAATAATTTTTTGTCACTTACACAAGTATCAATTATACAAAATATTTTTATCATTGTGGACGAAGAGCCAACTAAAGCAAGGAAGTACCAAAATAAAACTTTAATAAGAAGTGCGTGTAACCTAGTTAGCCGAATCCACATTATAAACTGTGACTCGCTGTTGTGTGACCTATTATTAAAGAATTTTACCAGAAAGTGTGAAATGTATGTGTCTTATTCAATTCCCAGTCTAGAACTGGGCAAACCGTTCTTACAGTGTGGGCAACTCTTTAATAGTTAATAGACCCAATCCGGTGATGGCTAACCATCACACCATAAACTGTTTCTGGACTACATTTCCCATGATGCTCAGCGAGCTTTTAAACTCTAAAAGCTAGCTGAGAATCATGGGAAATGTAGTCCAGAAACAGTTTATGGTGTCAAGGTTAGCCATCACTGATAATCCATGTTATTCAGATAGATGCTGGATAATGTGACAGACTCGTAAATATATTATCCTAAAATGTCATCATTTATGTTTACATGATAGGTGTAATAATTAGATAATAACCACATGGCAGTATCAGCTATCTTTTCAAGCATTGGTCCATTACACTACAGAAACACTTAAAGCAATGACAGACAAAGTGCATTGTGTTTCCTTGTTAGCCCTTCAATGTAGAGTATTTGTATTTCCTTTGAGTTTATATTTGCTGGAGACATGACAATGTTATGTACACCGAATGCCCATTAGTGACGAGGCACATGGCCCCCAGAATGTCACCGCTTCTAAATTCCCTATATCCAATCAAGCTATTGATGGGAAATGATAGGGTTTTATTTTTAGTGGATGTGAGGGATTTTATCCCCTATTATGGGGTCAGATTGTAGAATTATTGGTTCGGTGAAAAGGTTAAAGCAGGTATCTCTTCTCTGCACACAGATTCAGGGTCTGCTGGAATGGCTGATCTCCTGTGCCTCATCCACTGATACCAGGGTCAGGTTACTTATAATATTTGCTTTATTGTTAATCAGTTACTTACTAACTTGGTGCAATGCTGTTTGGAAAATAGTTTGTTTGTCTTGAGTAATTACCCCATTTTACAACTTTGATACACAAATATGTATCACACTAAGGAAACACAGATTTAACGGAGGTCTTGCTAAAGACATAACATGTGTATGTATTTAAAAACATCTTATAATCTGGTTTATAGAAAATGCCCAAGTCAAGGATTCAGTGCAGTTAGGAACACACGGACTTGTTTGCTATTCCCAAAACATTTGCATAGGATTCTGGAATACGACTTGCCCACCATTACCGAATTAGTTTTATTGGCTTGTGAGCCACCCATGTTGTTAGGTATTATTGTACGCTGAATATCACTGGCTGGTACACTGTACTTGTCTGTTGTTCCTGGATACATTAAAGGGACACTCCAGGCACCCAGACCACTTCTGCCCATTGGAGTGGTCTGGGTGCCAGCTCCCACCACCCTTAACCCTGCAACTGTAATTATTGCAGTTCTTATAAACTGCAATAATTACCTGGCAGAGTTAAGTCCTCCTCTAGTGGCTGTCTATCAGACAGCCACTAGAGGAACTTCTGTGTTCTCAGAACGCGAAAAGTATTTTAAATGATGCTGGACGTCTTCACGCTATGCAGGAGGACCTCCAGCGTCACCGGAATCCCCATAGGAAAGCATTGAATATGCCATAGGAAAGCAAGAATAATGCTTTCCAATGGGGAGGTTTAATGCGTGCACGCGGCCATTGCCGCACACGTGCATTGGGTCTCCCCCGCCGAGGAGGAGCGTGGGCGGAGCCTGAACCAGCGCTGGGGGGCATCGGCGTTGGATTCAGGTAAGTCACTGAAGGGGTTTTAACCCTTTCAGCAACATGGAATGGGGGGTGGGAGGGAGAGGGGCACTTCAGGATTCTCTAGTGCCAGGAAAAAGGATATGATTTCCTGGCATTGGAGAGTCCCTTTAAAGTCATTTTAAAACCATTGACAAATGTGAATATAGACAACCTTGCTGTGTTGAAAAGAATGGCAGTGAGATAAAGGTATGGATAGCCTTTTACAGTTTGGATAGGAAAAAGGGAAATAGTGAATAGGTTACTGCAGTACGTAGGGAATATAATACAGCTTTAAACCCAATGAAGCCTAGGAGTCCAGTCTAGGGAGCTAATGATAGCACAGTCCTTTCAAAGCAGAACAAAAAAACAAAAACATGCAGAGGTGCAGGGGTTATGCTAAGGTGTCAAAACAACCACACCATCTAATGCCGTTCATATAGTGTTTACATACAAATCCTTCCTCAATGTAAAAACAAGAGGGCTTTTTTGGATATGTTATATAAATGTCATTTAATGGTGATCTTAGCATTACCCTCTATGCATTATTGGAGTCATGGGGGTCCTGTCAACAGGGTAACTCCTATGACTTAAAGCCAGGTTTCATTGTGAAAGCAGTATATTATTGTTTTACTTTGACCTCCAGGCTGGTAGTTATAACAACCATTTTGGTGTGTAGTGGTGATGGTGCTAGTTTAATTACCATTCTCCCATTATTTTGCCATATTCTCTTTGGGTGGCAAAAAACAATACACTGTAGTGGTGATGGTGCTTAGTTCCCTATAGATATTCCTTGGTAAGAATAATTTTATTAGCAGAGATGTACAAAGACACTTACTAACCTTTAGTTCTACACTTCCCATGATGCTAAGATAGGGTAGTGTCCGAACATGATTGTAATTCTCCTGTTCTATGTTAATTGTAAGGAATCTGCAATTTTATTAGATAATCTATGCTGAAGTTTATAAGATTCTCTCACTGGAGTGAAAATATATACAGGTCAGAGATGTTGCTCCAAAAATACCACTTCGTTAGTGCTCTATAGAGGTTTCTTTGTATAAGGCATTGCTCAGAATGTTTGCTTCTAACTCAAGCCTGGCAGCTATGAAAAGACGAGTTGTAATGAAAGTTTGTATCTTGGAATATATCGAACGCAGTATCGCCCTGCAAGCTCTGGGTTTTACTTATTTATTTTGGTTGTTTCCCAATGTGCTCAGTGTTTGCTCGTTTAAAGGGTAACAGTTGCTGACATTGAATGGTAGAGTCTTTGCTCAGTTGGTAATGAATGTGCAGGTCACCTTGATAACTCCTCACTAGGATAAATGAGAATTGCATCTTTTAGTTTGTCAGAAGCCATATTTGTTTTCAGTAAGGAGAAGATTGGATGGGAACGGCCTTGTTCTGACTCATGAGCCGCTGTAATTGAATTTGACGTGATCTTTGGTTCCATTAGTCATATTTATGATTATTGCAGGCTAATAAACCATAAAACCTGGATGGATGGTAGAGCGTGAAATCAGCAGAACTGAGTCACTTGTGCAGTGAGTACTGCACTTTATCATCACAGTGATAGAAATCGTCCTATCGACGGGTCTTCCAACTTAGATCATGGTGGATACATTTCTCTGATCTGATAATATAGTTCATGTTTGCTTTACTCCGTCACAATATATTGTATTTTATATAATACTGCAGTTTGAATTGGTTAATAGAATAATAAATCATTTCTGATATTTTGGGAGATTCTGCATTGTTTGGAATGCATGTATTTGCCCCAGACTCAGTGCTCTAAATAATTGCATTTCCCCATCTCTCCCAGAATGCCATGCAGGATGCATAAATCAGTACAGGGGGCACTATTTCTTTGTAGATTTTTTTTAAAATCTATTTATTGCAGAGATTTGATTTTTTGTGCACAAGGCAATACATACACATACATTAAACTATACAATTTAAAATTCTATTAATCAAGAAAGAACAAAGTATACAAACAAACAAATGGCCTCCCTACAGACCAATCTGTGATTGTATGTGAATGTGTGTGTCTGGGATTGTATGTGGGTGTGTGTCTGGGATTGTATGTGGGTGTGTGTCCGGAATTGTATGTGGGTGTGTGTCTGTGATTGTATGTGGGTGTGTGTCTGTGATTGTATGTGGGTGTGTGTCTGGGATTGTATGTGGGTGTGTGTCCATGATTGCATGTGGGTGTGTGTCCGGGATTGCATGTGGGTGTGTGTCCGGGATTGCATGTGGGTGTGTGTCTGGGATTGTATGTGGGTGTGTGTCTGGGATTGTATGTGGGTGGGTGTCTGGGATTGTATGTGGGTGTGTGTCCATGATTGTATGTGGTTTTGTGTCCATGATTGCATGTGGGTGTGTGGGTGTCTGTAACTGTGTATAGTGTGTGTGTATATACTTGTGTATGTGTTTAGTAAATAACTCCCTAATTTGGTATCCTTAAAGGGACACTATAGTCACCTGAACAACTTTAGCTTAATGAAGCAGTTTTGGTGTATAGAACATGCCCCTGCAGCCTCACTGCTCAATCCTCTGCCATTTAGGAGTTAAATCCCTTTGTTTATGAACCCTAGTCACACCTCCCTGCATGTGACTTGCACAGCCTTCCATAAACACTTCCTGTAAAGAGAGCCCTATTTAGGCTTTCTTTATTGCAAGTTCTGTTTAATTAAGATTTTCTTATCCCCTGCTATGTTAATAGCTTGCTAGACCCTGCAAGAGCCTCCTGCATGTGAATAAAGTTCAATTTAGAGATACAATTATTTAAGGTAAATTACATCTGTGACAGATTCATCTGTATTGCTGGTTCGTCAGATGGATTGTCCAGGCAAACCGACATCCTCACCACCTCTTAATCCGGTCATCCCCACGTTGACCCGCCAAAGGTATTGCTGGTTCGTCTGTTTCCCTTTGTTTCGCTGAATTTCCTGTTCGTATGCCCCTGTTCGTGTGATTACAAAATACCGATTGAAACTACCGAACGAACGACCACCCAGGAGAGGAGTGTGCTGCTGGTTAACCTCTTGGCCCCAATTAGAACGTTGTGGTTAACTGCAGACACCTCTCCATTCCATTCGTACGGGTGGTCGTCGTTCGCATGTCGACCATGAGGCAGCGGCCATTTTGGGACACGAGGAAGCGTAGCGGGGTTCGGTACAAATCCTATGGAACTGGAAACGGACACTTTAATCTACCGAACATCGCTGGAAGCTGCTGCCCACCTTCTATTTCGGCGAGGCGCACGAACGCCGGTCGTTCGGGAGTTTTTATACATTCGTATGGACCTTTACCCAGATAGCCGTCCCATGGGGTCATTCGAAGGACTGGTGAAAGACTTTGACTTCATGGTGATTCGACTAGATACATCGGATCTGAGCGCTATTCGGTAGAAATATGCACTCAGATCCAGGCTGTCTGGGGATACGTTACACAAACTATATTCATTCGGTATTTCTTCAGTTATATATTTTAATGTATTTTTCTTACTGTATTTTAAAATGGCGATTGTCTCTATCCTGGGAGATATGTTTTACAGTCTTCCACAAGGTCCCCTCGGGGAGTGTCCACCTTGTGGAGACCTGCATAAATACCGGGCAGTTAGCCCCCATTAAACAGAACCTTATTTGACCCTCAAGACGGAGCTTGGTCTCGTTTGTGGGGGAATTATTACTGGGACAGCACTTTCGTTATTTTTAGCTGTGGAAGGCGTTCGACTGTTTTGCTGATCGGGAGTTGCCGTGTTCGTGAACTTCGTTCGGGAGTTTGGCGGTCGGCTGAATATAAACTGCATTTCTGGAGAGGGGGATTATTCACTAAACGGCGGCTTCATCTACCTGGCGGTGAGTGTCGTAACAACATCTGTTTGAAAGTGAAACCAGTTTCTTTTTTTTCATGCAGGCTCTGTCAATCATAGCCAGGGGAGGTGTGGCTAGGGCTGCATAAACAGAAACAACGTGATTTAACTCCTAAATGGCAGAGAATTGAGCAGTGAAATTGCAGGGGAATGATCTATACACTAAAACTGCTTTATTTAGCTAAAGTAATTTAGGTGACTGTAGTGTTCCTTTAAATATGGCAATCCCGCATAAGGATAACAAATAAGGGAGTTTAATACTGAATGGGGGAAAAAAAGAGCTAATCAATGATTACAGCTAGATGATTAATATATATGTTGTCTAGGCGTAAGACCATGCCTGCACCGGATCGTAGCTATCCAAAAATTATGGTCAATGATAGTCAATGACATTAAATAAGTAGGTTAAACTTCTTTGCTTATTAAAGATTCTTGCGAGGGTGACAATAAATTTTTATACTATACATTATTCCCAAGCTGAAATTAAATACCCCTATCCATATTGTATTGATAATTAAGCTGGTTTGTTATAGGACCATGAAGGTACATCTTGTTGAAGCCAATATCTTGATATTGCAATTTCTGTAGCCATCATCATCTGAATGATTAAATATATTTTCTGAAAAGTAAATCTCAATATATTAAAAGTTCTACCAGCATATTATCCTCTGGATCTTCCCTTATCTCAGAGAGTGCTTTTAGGGCTCTGGCCCATAATGGTCTTCTGAACTCACAATCCCACCCATATGTTTCTTCCTACTTCACGATTACACCTCCAACATAATTTTGAATTATTTTGTTATATTTTATTGCTAATCTCTGGTACCATGGGCGACTGATTATTTTTTTAATGAATATTTACAATATTCAGACAGTGAAGTGATTGTTTTACCTCTTTGATACTTACTCCACTGATCCAACTGAGAAACGACCCCAACTTCTTTATTCCAATCCTTCCTTGCTTTATGTTTAAACTTCACATTTTCAAGCCTTAGTACTTGATAGCAATAGGATATATATTTATATTTAAGATTATTAAATAAATCATTCATTTTTTTAAAAATTCAATATGTCTTTCTCATCATACAACAGCAGTCGAGCCAAATAATTTTTTAATCTCAACTAAGTAAATATCTCCTTTGAGAGCAGGTCGAAGCACCACTGTAGCTGTGGAAAATAACTTATTCTGTGTCCCTCCATTAGGTCCACTATCCTCCATGCGAGTTAGTCCAATTCTGTAATTGTAGGTCTATTAAGTTGTGCTCGGTAGTACTGATAAAACTATACATAGATCTTTTGTCGAGCAATTAGTTTTTTTTTGCTTAGATGTGGAGTTTCTATTGTAGACAAAAAACTGTTAGCTGTACTACTATCCTTCCACCATACCAGACAATTTAGGCTGGGCATGTCCAACCAGCAGCCCACCGGCACCGCTAGTAATGCAGTCCAGACAGAGAGGGAGGCAGGGTGCCCTTTACATACTGTACAGCTCCCTCGCGTACCCTGCAGTGAGCCAGCAGCCAGGATATGACATCATCCCAGCATCACTAGTGGGCATGTGTGGGACCTGTGCAGCAAGAGCACAGAGATGTAAGCCCAGCAGCAACCACTAGTCACCAGGGATCGAGGATCCACACCAGCCTTCCCAGAGCAAGGTATGGAGGCTGGGTGGACCTCATTAGTACCTAATGTGTATCAGTGAGAATTTTGTCTATATATGTCAGTGATTGTGTGTATGCCTGTGATTGTGTGTGTGTATGTGACTGTGTATAGGTCTGTGATTGTATGTTTGTGTTTTAGGAGCTAGCTCCCTAATTTGGTATCCTTAAATATGGCAATCCCATATAAGGATAACAAATAAGGGAGTTATGTAGCATTGAAATATCAAAATTAAGAAAAGGGCTTCTAAAGTTTTACTACTTGTATACATTAACTATAGTATATATATGTGTGTGTGTGTGTAATAGATGTGAGGGCCGAGACAATTCTTCGCTCAATGCGGCCCAGGGAAGCCAAAAGTTTGCACCCTCATATGGTTTACCAGACATCTTCATTGAGATCTGGGTGATTTTACAGTGACAAAATGATCCACTAGTTTATACAATTGTGTGTGTGTGTGCATACATGTGCATATGGAGGTTAAAATCTATGTTTTGTAGTAAATACTAGCATTCTGTTTTTGTTGGTTTTTGTTTTATCCCCAGAGATTATCTCTGTAGAAGCGGCCAGTGCTGGTTTGCTTGGCAATGGCTTAAATGCTTTGTGTGCCATTTGTGGAGATCGAGCAACAGGAAAACACTATGGAGCGTCGAGCTGTGATGGCTGTAAAGGGTTCTTCCGTAGAAGCGTTCGCAAGAATCACGTGTACACATGCCGGTAAAGTGACCTCAGGTTTACCATACACCCTGCTGTACAACAAACTGCTTAGAAAACGTGCCATCCATGTTTACGGATCATTTTATTTAGCGTGCTAGGAAATACTGTGAGTAAAATGTACCAGTAACATCTTCCAGCCAGTTATTATTTAAGAAGGAACTAGCTACCAGTCCACACCTTATTACTCATCTGGAGAAGCAGATTTTGTGATTTAGTCCTTTTTTTGTTAAATAGTATTTCTTGTCACTGGGTACGGGCTTGGAAATTTTGTCTCTCTTACATAACCCTTTATATAACGTGCTACTAATATTATATTCCAGGGTTCCCTGCTCCTTTTGTATTGTGTGTCTATTATATTGAATATCAATAGATGTGACCGCATGTCCCTCTCCGTCACCCCACTTAGGGCTCCTACACAGTTTTATATTAAACTAGGATACAGAACCAGTGGACACCGAGCAGTAGAACAGCGACACTGAGCCGCAGTGGTTATGTTGCTCAAAGTGTCCTTGTAAACTAGAATGTACTTTTTTTGTACAGTCTTCCGTCTTCCTTAATTATTGACTTTATCAGCAGTTCTTTATGAGTAACACATCATTATATCTGATATTCTATGTTAACCGCACGGCACCAGCAAATTCCTTCCCATAACCAATCCTGCTTCTCCCACTTAGCTGTGGTTAAGTAACAATCCAACAATTATACTTCCATATAAAACGTATTTCTCTTATGTTTAATCTTTCTTTCCAAAGGTTCAACAGACAGTGCATTGTAGACAAAGACAAGAGAAACCAGTGTCGCTACTGTCGCCTGCGGAAGTGTTTCCGGGCAGGGATGAAGAAAGAAGGTTGGTCGAACATGGAAACATTCCTCCCACCCCCTCCCCCCCAAATATATTATATTTCTTTAGTTTGATATTTTTAGAAAAAGTCCATAATGTGGTAAATTCAAACCAGTGTGTATAGACTGGTAACCCGATGCTTGCTATGGCCTCCACCATCCTGAGTCATGTATTAGGTTGGCTTGGAGAAGGTTCCTTGTGGTGGTAGCCAAGAAATGAGAACTTAGAGCCAGAAGCAGGGAAGGGGCTGAGAGTTGTGGATCCCTTTGCCTACAAGCGCTAAAGGAAAATTCATAATGCCAGATCAAACATAATTCTAAAAATACATCACTTTAAAAGTGGAACAGCCTTTTTGTAGACAGGCTGACTATATGGAGAGACATTGTGGGACTTTGAGCCAGGAAACTAGTCAAGAACAGGCATTATGTCCCATCCAGAACTCCCACTACGCCTACTCATGATTAGTGTTTAGCATTGTAGAGGTTCCAGGAAATGTCGATTAGCACACGAAGGGCTGTGGCAGGGACAGCTTGTGTGATTAGGACTTTAACAAGCTGCTGAACATGGGATTAAAAAGATAATAAAGGAAAATAAGGTGCAAGATGGGATCTCACAGTATTGCACATTTCCCCCTAGTACTAGATGTATGCTGCTTACAAAACCACACAAGAACCACTTGCAGCTCTTCTCCGTGTGCTTGTCCTCTGAATGTTAATACCTGAAGGGAAGTGTGCTGGTCTCTATTTGGTTTATGTAGAATGCTGTATAAGAACACACAGCTTTTTAAACAGAGACTGGTGTCTGTGTATATGGAACAAACTGCTGTTTTTCTAAGAATACATTAAAATACATTTAGTTCTTTTTTATTCACTAATCACATACCCCTATGGTTCTTATCTGATGGCGTTTTGGATTTATAGCTCTCAGATGATGTTTAATGTTAAAAATGGAATACACTATCTTGACAATTAGGCATGCCCCGGTTGTCCGTTTCCTTTAGCAGGGGTCTGGAATGTTGGATACTGTCCCTTTTATAAGAAAAGTTCAAATAGTGTTTACAGTCAGTGCTGTGTCAGCCTAGGGGGTGAATGAACCTTTAACCTTGATTTTTGATGTTTTTTGTTGTCTGTAAGCCATCAAGTGACGGTTTGCGTGATCTCACTGGAGTTCTTTGTCAATGCTCACCTCTAGTTCAGCTGGTTGAGCGATAAGACGGCCCAATGGCATTTTTAGGAACCTGAAGTGTTTCGTCAAAGCGTGCTGTGTATATTTACATAAAGGAAAGTTCTAAGCCTAAATATATGTATTATTTGATATTTTTGTTGCAAACCTGCTGGCAATATCACATTATGGTTTTTAAATTTCTTTTTAAAATGCTTGACTTTCTCATTTTTTATGTATATAACAGTAGGTGGTTTAGTTCTACCAAAGCTCACCATAGTGCTAGCGATATTTTGGAACATTCGTAAGAAACCAATTCACATAGCACTGAAATCTCCATGTGAAAGAAATAAGCCTGGTTTGAGGGATGAAGCCTCGTGATGCCTGTTTTTGCAGTGTGTTGTGTGCCAGGTCACATTGCTGAGCGTTATGATATAGAACATCTGCTTGAGCCCCCGAGACCTGTCCAAACGCTCCATTTACTGCCTTCTCTTCAGGCATTAGACTGTTTGTGATGGAAACCGTTGACATTAAAGTAATTTGAGAGCGCTACCCCTGACATGACTGGAAATGAAACAGGCAATTTAATTACCCCCATAACTGTCCTAGGTATACCGTGATTTATATGTTGTTGGCGATTGCTGTGGAAGAATTTGCAGAAGGAATATTATTGTGGAATCCGGGCACAGTAAGGACTAGGAGTGTGTAATTGGCACAGGGCATGTCTGCTTGGGGTCACTCAAGTTTCTGAGCAATGGATATTAACATTACTAAGCAATAGTTACTTTATAAAACCTTGCCAGTGCCACTCTGCTAAGACTGTCAGTTTGACATTAATAGCACAACTAACCCCTCTGCAGGCTAGATTAAATACACAATGATAATACGCTAAGTGCAAGATTTTAACATTGTAAAATCAGTTTTGCTCACTAGATGATGGTGTGGGTCTTGTTTTTCCCTGTATTTTTGCACAGCATTGCAGAATGGGATAGATTTACCTATCCTTTATTTTACAGGTGCAATAAATATCTCAAGAGAGCCAAATCCAATGATAGATAATGTTTAACAGACTGGTTGTGTGGGGTTCTGCTACTTCAAAGAATGTGAGCGGGTAAAAATAGACATCAATAGCTCTAACCATTAAGAGCCTCTCATACTCGAAGATTAAACGTAATCCTAATTACACTAGAGTGAAATGTGGCAGGGTATATCGCAATACTCACAGATAATCCGATTAATTGGATGCTTATACTTAGAATTTAAGATGTAAGAAATTATCAGGAAAGTAATTAGTTTTAATCACTTCTTTAGAATTGTGCAAGTGTATCCACATATATAGATTTTTTTTTTTAAATTAAGCCTGTATAAACTATGCCAATGATGTCCTAGTACTGAAACTGCAGTAAAGAGCGATCTCTGTTCTTTATAAACGTAACATTAATTATTTGGCACAAGTGCCTATTCTAACCTTGATAGTTATAGCTATATGTCCCTGTATGTTTAAAGGGACACTATAGTCACCAGAACAACTACATTTTATTGTATTTGTTCTGGTAAGCAGAATCATTACCTTTTAAGCGATTTGCAGTAAACACTGCTTTTTTTCCAGAGAAAATACATTATAGCCAAGGGATCCCTCCACTGGCCTCTCCTCAGATGGCCACTAGAGGTGCTTCCCGGTCAGTGCAGTGTGCAGCGCTGTCTTTCAATGTCTCCACCCACTGTATGGAGACACTGCACTTTCCTCAGAGAGATGCATTGATTCAATGTTTCTCTATGAGGAGATGCTGATTGGCCAGGGCTGTGTTTGACTTGTGCTGAGTCTGCCCATGATCTACCTCCTTGACAGCCTCAGCCAATCCAATGTGAAAGCATTGTGATTGGCTCATATCACCACTTCTGATGATATCAACCAAGTAGACAGATCAAGGGCACAGCCAGCAGCAGCAGACTTGAATAAAAGTAATATTTTACTCTATTTAGGGGGCAGGAGAACTAGATTGTTTTTAACACAATAGGGTCTGGAATACATGTTTGTGTTCTTTTAATGTTATTGTACAGTGGAACCCAAAATTTTCTGATGGGCTCTCCTTCCTTTACCCAGCTCCGCTATTCCTATTCCTGGACAATTTACGGTGCAGGGAGATAAGTTTCATAATGGCTCATGCATTAAGGTCTCCGGACTCTGAGCTCTGATTTTTTTTTTTCAGACGATGGTAAAAGTTCCAGTGATATTGTGTGGGGTGGTGGGATCCATCCAATAGGCAAAATGTCCAGTCATATAAATCTCCTCCAAGTCTACGCATTCAGGCCCTGTGCAGGCTCCGATTTCACTTAGATCAGTGGTCCATCCAGTTCTCTATCCTTGGAGTCAGAGTTGGGGCTCACCATGTTGTAGCACTCTCTTCGTGAACTCAGGCACCTAGTAAACCTGACTTGCAGTTGCTGTTATAAGTTGGTATTGCTTCCAGGATTCTCATCAGCTAGAAGGGTTTCTGAGTTGTCATATTTTTTTGTATTATTACATGATCTAAAAGAACATAAAGCAAAAAGAGTTAATTCGTAGCCGTGTTTAGTGGAAGATAATTAACAATGAGGGGAGTACGGAGGATGGAGCCAGTGGTGCTTCTGTAACAGGAATACTTTCTTCTTTGCAGCGGTGCAGAATGAACGCGATCGTATCAGTATGCGCAGGAGCAGCTATGAAGAAAATGGTTCCCTATCGATTAGCATTCTGACCCAGGCGGAATCAATGGTACATCAAGTAAGTGATTTCATTTTTTGTTTTTTTTACAGTTTAACAGCTCCAAAGCTAAAGCTAAATGTGAAAATTACAATGCAGCTGCGGTAGCAGTTTATGGTATTTCATGCACAACTGCAGTCATTAACCACCAAAGGTGAATTTAGATCCTGGATGTATGAGGCATTGAACAATCAATATGGGGAACTCACTGTGTACTGGAAGATATAGCCACGCTTTCTATAAAATGATCAAACCATAGACAGGAGGTGGTGAAACCATAGACCCTCTGCCCAGGGTTAGAAGGGCCTTCCACTACTGGCCATTGTTTTCCTGTTATTGAGCAGTATATTCATGGCAGGAAAGGAGGAATTGGACAAGGTTAATTGGACAATACTGTATGTTCGTGTATTTCTTGTTTAGAGCTGTCTGAAGATTACGCTCTCTGTTACCTCCACTTTTAATTGTTAGGATTACAGTCCAACGCTAAAGGTATGTACAGTGTCCTGATAGAGTTTGGCTGTTTTACGACGGAAGGACTGAGTATGTTTCTGTTAATGGATATAGCTAAAGAAGGCATAAACAGTTATAACAGTGTTTACTGATAAAATCCAAATAGAAATATTTATACCCTGCCAGGGTCGCTGGTGTTAATAGCTAGCTTCACTGTACAAACAATGGCCTTTAATGTCTATCAAACATTGCACAGGGATACGACAAGACAGGGCATCGGGGTGGTAGGCATTGGACAGGAGAGGGCATCTTGTTGGTAAGCAATGCACCAGTGATGGGACAGAGCTGGTATATGGCTGGTAGGCAACATGCAGGGAATCAGAAAGGGTAGGGCATCTGGCTGGTCAGACAGGGGATCAGACTATGCTGGAGAAGGTAAAATCCATTAAAAATTGGCATGCAACTTGTGTCTTACAAGCATTTAAACCTCACAGATGCCATCAAGTTTACTTTCCAGCCCATTTGCTGACAATCTGTAGTCGAAGAGGTTGTCCAGTAATCTGTGCAGTATCAGGGCTCCTGGCACAGGCTGAGTGCTTCAGACTTCAGAGAGCTCTGCTTCAAACATAGGGAAAGGCACAACAGCAAATGTTCTATCTGATTTAAATCCAGTTTGTGGTTATCATCGCCACCTTGTGGCTGCCAAACGAATTACACTGTTTACAATTAACTATATTCCATTAGTGGCAAATAAAAATGTATTTAAAAAAAATAAATAACCCACTTTACTTGTTTATGCATCAGTCTTTCGGCAGCGTGCATGTGCTCTGCACTAATAGGAAATGAGAAATTCTCTATACAGATAGCTCTCAGGGGATTCATCACTCAGATAGTATTATGCTAATGGTAAAGGCTAGCATTAAACAAACCACCCAGCTGTCTGGCTAAGTGCAGGACAAGGTTACACATTGTTTTACTGTTTTCTGTCCCTTATTTTTGTTAATTGATATTTGCTTTATTGCGATGGCCTCAGAATACTTCTGTTTGACACTGCTGACCGTAATCTAAACTTCTTTATCCAGTTCACTTCGCTTAGTCCACTTCATGGAGCTGACATTGCAATGAAGAAAATAGCCACCATCAGTGATGTGTGTGAGTCGATGAAGCAGCAGCTCCTCCTGCTGGTAGAATGGGCAAAATATATCCCAGCCTTCTGTGAACTTCTCCTGGACGATCAGGTAAACTCAGGTGTTGCTGGGGAGAGTTAGTGAAGTCACAGCTCCTTAAACTCTCTGTGGTGAATGTATAGAATGTCACAATCCTTCTTCAATGTAGATTTTACGGTTATTGTAACCTGTCTCTGAATTTGATTTAAAAAAAATGCCCCATTTTGGATTAATAATAGTCCAGTTTAATGTGTTATAATCTGATAATACAGCACCTTGCTCAACCCTACAGGGACCCAAACAGATGGGTGCGTTCTGCAACACACAGCCAGCCAAGTACACTACTTCACTGGAAGAAATATTAGTCTTGTAGTAAAATGCTCACACAGTGGGTGCATTTACCTCTATACTCTTCACAGGTTGCCCTGCTGCGGGCACATGCCGGGGCCCATCTCCTCCTGGGAGTTGCCAAACGCTCTCTGCCTTACAAAGATTTTCTGTTACTGGGTAAGATACGATATGATGCATACGGATAGGACTCTGCATGTTACGGGCCTGAAGCAGTGTATACAGTTATATATCTAGACTGTATAGGGTTAATTTACTAAACATCCCATTACAGTCCATATAAAACTGAATTGCAAAATGTAGGCAAAAAATCGCCATGCTTTATAAGAAAAAACTTTATCTACATTTTGTAAGTCTGTACAGTTCAGCATTTAGTGAATATACCCCTTTCTAGATTGCCATACTGAGTCTAGACCTGCAGCAATGTGTGGTGCTCGATTATAGAAGGCCGTTACAGAGAGACGAGCAGGAATGTGTCTGTGGCGGAGGGACATACCACGTGGAAGTTAATGAAATAAACGGGGTTTCCTTGTCTTGCAGGTAATGATTTTATTATCCCCATGCATTGCCCAGAACTTGAAATTGCTCGTGTTGCCACCAGGATTTTGGATGAGTTGGTGAAACCTTTGCGCGATATTCAGATAGATGACAATGAATATGCCTGCCTGAAAGCCATTATATTCTTCGATCCCGGTAAGTATGAGTTTGTGTGTCTGTAATATATATAATAAATAACTGGCATGAGAATGAATGGTCATCCTTGCCCTCAGAACAAGGCATTTCTGTATATGAACCCAGTTACGGGGTGATTCTGGCGTCCATATTGTTTATAGCCTAGGATGTTCAGCCAGACCTTGAAGAGATATTTAAATCCCAATATGAGACGGCATGCGCACAGCTGGAATGGTGGTTAATTCGGACAGCCATGGGATTTGGAGTATTATTACATATTTAGCACGCTAACTCTCCAGCTGCTTTTTGCAAATCTTAATTATCCTGAAAGTTAATTTTGCTCTCTAGTCATGTGAGATTTACATCCTAATGTGATCCGAGGCTGTCACCGTGTTAAAAAGAAAATTAGAGTTTATCCATTTGGAACAACTTTGTCATTTAACGTAGTGATTAATGCAAGATATCAGAGTATGTCCTACAAGTTTAGTCCGAGTAAATAACCTACCATCACCTGTTTTTTTTTTTTAAATCCCACCTGTTCAGTAACTCTCAGACCCATCCATTTAATACTCTATGCAGTGACCGACGCCATCTTTTTATTTACCCTAGATTGTAAAGGCCTGAGTGAGCAGTCCAAAGTAAAGAACATGCGATTCCAGGTTCAGGTAAATCTGGAGGATTATATTAACGACAGGCAGTACGATTCCAGAGGAAGGTTCAGCGACATCCTTCTCCTCCTGCCGCCTCTTCAGAGCATCACTTGGCAGATGATCGAGCAAGTTCAATTCGCTAAACTCTTTGGCGTTGCCAGGGTTGATAGTTTACTGCAGGAAATGCTTTTGGGAGGTACAATCATCTGTCAAACTATGCAGTTACTCTTACTTTTTATAACACTGCACTGCTGTTACTCTTTCCCTCTCTGCATGCCTGATTATTGAATTTCTTAATTTGAATTATTACTTCCTTTTACTTTTTCCAAGTGTTACCTTGTTTGGTGTAATGTCATACAGCGCAATGTGTAATACTTTACGACTTGATGCTGGTGGGAATCTGTTGCTCTGTATTTTGCGGATTTGAAAGACATGCATTCGATCTAGTTTTAGTACTGACGAGCATAGGCGTGCGCACGGGGTGTGCCTGGGCACAGTCTAATCCCCGCGGCACGCCTCTGGATTGAGACCGGCAGAGGAGATCTCAGTATCCCCCGTCGGCTCATGCAGAGCCGGCGCTATCCGAGCGCCGGCTCTGCTCTAAGCCTCCCCTCACCGACACACAGGCAGTGAGGGAGGCAGGAGAGGGCCCGAGAGGTCTTGCCAGCAGCTCCGCCGGGTTCCTTTGGCGAGGTTGGAGCGTTGCCGCGGCAATGCTCAGAGTGAACTCTAGCCCCGCAGGCTAGAGTTCACTCTCCACTGGACCACCAGGGAATGGATGGCAGCAGCAGCAGCAGGATCCCCCCTCCCAGGCATAAGGTATACATGGAGGGGGGATATTTACTAAACACAATACACACAATCACCCAAACATACAGCACACGCACAGCATCTACACACAATACACACACACACATCACCCTCACACAGATATCAACCTTACACACACAGCACCCTCACACACACACTAACAGCACCCTCACATCACCCTTACAGACACACACTAAAAGCACCCTTACACATACACACACACAGACACTAACAGCACCCTTACACACACTAACATCACCCACACACATACAGTGCCCTTACACACACACCCTCACACAGCAGTATATGTGTGTGTGTGTATATATATATATATAAAATATAAATACGCGGCAAGTGTGTTTGTGCTTTAGGGTGCACACCCTTATACAATAGGCTGTGCACGCCTATGTTGACGAGCGCGCGTACACGTGTTTTACTAGGGGGCCGATTCCGTCGTACTGTTTGCTGCTTTGTGATCCACTGATTCATATCATCATGCTGGTGAATTTTCACCGTATTTCCAGTTTCCATAACTACTTTCCCAGCTTGCAAAGCAAAGATTGGGTGGCCCAGCTCAACTTGTATATAAGGGTGTTAAGGGACTTTGTGACAGCACTACCATGCTGGTTTTAGCAGTCATATTGTGAAATTCGAAAATGTCCAACACTTCTGTAATATTCGAGTAATCCCTTTATTATTAATCGAAACACCAAGTGACATTTCACCAGAGGAGTTTCATTGAGATAAGTTAGTCATTGAAATGTTGCTTGGTATCTGGGGTTCTAAATAAAGTACCCAGGACTCAAATACCCTCCAAGGATTCCCGAATTGTGAGTATTTCTGGCATTCCTAGTGTCTATTAAACACAGATGAAAACAAGGTCTTTGCTTTTAGAGTAAATTTGCAGGACTGACTTCTAGAACCATTCTGAGATATTTTGATGGCAGTTATTGCCAAGCTGTAACAAGCGTAAAATATAGGCCAAAAATATTGTATAGAAATTTAGTAATTTGCGTTTTACTTCCTTACAGTTGGTTTAGTGTTTGCGGTTTTCTTTTCCTGCACCTTCTGGAGCAGAGTAGGAAGTCTGTATGGCTTATTCTGGCTGTCAGAGCTTGAGCCCTGATGTAATTACAGAATTATGACATAAAATCTTGCTTCCAATGAGAATGAGTTATACATTGAACTGTTTCTGTTGTAGGATCTGCAATGGAAGGACAGTATATGCATTCAGGAAACTCCAGCTTGAGCCTTGAATTAATACCAGGACACACCATTCACCCCATCAACCTTCACTCTGTTATACATTCCGTTTCATCCTGTAAGTACTAAAATCTACTCGCCCCTTAATATGTCCAGTCCTGGAAAATCTTGTTACATATGGGCTTATTCACTAAACCTCGAATTGTATGATTTTTGCTAAAAAAGACAATTTTTGACTAGTGGATTAGGAGACTTTTCCAAAATGACTATGGTGTTTTATTACTAAATGCCAAATTCCCCTGAATTGAAAATTGCAACGTTTAGACAACTAAGTAATCCTATTATCAGACTACGGCGATAAAGCCAACGTTGTCTAACAAAGAGCAAAGTCAGTCGGACAGCACCACCATGACTTGTCTCATGGGTTCACAGAATTGTTCTATTGACATGCCTTGCGTGGTAGATCAGTTGTTAAAGTATCTCTTCTGTTTAGCTTCTCCAGAAACGTCTCTTCCGTCACCTCCTGTCAGCTCCAGCAATGAAGAATATAAGTTTAATGCTGCCACAGGACCCTCCATGCCACTAATGCCCCGCACAGTCATTGCTAAAAAGGAGGTATTATAGACAATGTTTTGGGCTCGAAAGAATGGAAAACTCGAACTCTTATTGCACGAGTGTAGTTCTGTGACACAGAGGATCATTTGTACTTATACCAGATGTGTGTGACAAAACTCAGGAAAAAAATCACTAAAAGAATCTAAAACATTCCTTCTGCCAAAACTCCCTGTACATCTTCCCCCGTTTCAATGTTAAATCATGCAAGCTTGTAATTGGTGAACGTGTGAGTGATAAGGCCATCTTCAGGTACGCAGTACTAGAGATCTCACCAACTGTTACATCCCTGCCTGAGGAAACCACTTCAAAGAACTACTAACAATCCAGTGTTCTAAAATATCCAGCATGGTTATTACATTGTATAATGGACTGGATGTTACGGGGATCACTAGGCAGAAACCATTTTATACTTTCTGGACCCTGTGCCTGATTTCTTTTGTATCAGACAGCAGTGGTCATGAAGCCATAATGTGACATTTGTTTATTCTAGTTTTTGCTTCTTATAAAGATTAGAATGTTTAGACCGTTGTACTGTTAATCTTTTAGGTCAAACACACATCTCCCATTTCAGTAATGAATGAAAACACAAACAATTGGTTTACCCTGTCAAAAACCAATATAAATATGGGATTTCAGAGTTGTCCAGTCTTGTATACATTTAAATCATGTAACTGACCCACAGCTTCACTGGTGGACTCCATGTCTTGTAGTCTGGAGGATTACCATATCCAAACCTGTGCATGTTCAGGTGTATAGATCATGACCCTGTAGTCTCACTGCTCAATTCTGTCATTTAGTAGTTAAACTGTTTTGTTTATGGAGCCTTAGTCACACTTCTCATGGCTGTGAACGATGCAGCCAACATGTAAGAAAGAAAAATAATTTTTTGGGTCTTTCTTACTTTTATTGAACTTTAATCACACACAGGTGGCCCCTGCAAGACCTTGGAGGCTATTAACAGAACAGGAGCCAAGAAAGTCTAAATTAGACTGTGCCATAAAGGAATTGTAAACATTAGATTACTCTTTACATGAAGTGTTTAGGAAGGCTGTGTGAGTCACATGCAGGGAGGTGTGGCTAGGGCTGCATAAATACAGTGATTTAACTCTTAAATGGCAGAGAGATTGCAGGGGAATGATCCATACACCAAAACAGCTTCATTAAAGGGAAACTCCAGTGCCAGGAAAACAATCTGTTTTCCTGTCACTGCAGGTCCCCTCTCCCTCCAACCCCCCCAATCCCCGGTTGCTGAAGGGGTGAAAACCCCTTCAGTTACTTACCAGAGGCAGCGTCATGTCCCACGTCGCTGCTTCATCCTCCGCCGCCGCTCCTCCCAGTGATTACGTCTGCCGGTGGGCAAGACTGATCCCGCCCACTGGCCGGGGAGACCTAATGCGGTGCAGCGCATGCGCTTTAGAGCTCCCCATAGGAAAGCATTGAAGCTTTTCAATGCTTTCCTATGGGGAAATGAGCAACATTGGAGGTCATAACACAGCGTGAGGACATCTAGCGACGCTCTAGCACAGGTTTTCTGTACTATGATGCAGGAAGTGCCCTCTATTAACTGTCCAGTTATAAAAAAACTGCAATAATTATACTTGCAGGGTTAAGAGTAGTGGGAGATGGCACCCAGACCACTCCAATGGGCAGAAGTGGTCTGGGTGCCTGGAGTGTCCCTTTTAAGCTAAGGTTATTTTGGTGCCCATAGTATCACTGAAGCCTGCAGCCCCTGGCAAACTTAACATAATGCTTGCTGAGGACAATAAATTTCATCATTGTCATTATTTCTCTCTGTGGGGTTATGTAGAAATAAATAGTTCTAGGGCCAGTTTCTAAAAGCGTAGTGGTCACCATGGAAACCAATGCACAGATTTACAGTTGTATTCTATTAATTTGTAACAATTCTGCACGAAAGGATCATTTTTACAACATTTAAGTAAAGACACAAATGTTAAAATTCTTCATACATTCGCATTTGTTGACTCATTGTAAAATGTAATTTACTCCCGCAGCTTGTTCATTGCTGTATGAAGGTAAAAGACATTGTTCTCATCAAATCTTACAGAGAATCTGCCCATGACTTCAAATAAAGCACAAGAAAACCATGCACGCGTGTCATTTCACATATTAATACTTTGCAATTATTTAAAAAAATAAGTTTGTAAGAAAGTGACCCACTTGTTTTTAACCCTTGTTTATACATGTTAACACCTGCACATAGCCTAATGAAGAATGAACGAACAGCAATGCGTGTTAAGTAAAACCCAAACAATTATCATTCTGCAAATTTATTTTACATCTAAAATGACAATTTAACAAGGGTGTAAAAAACTAATTCCAGTTCGCACGCTTGCTAATCACATTGATATTCAGAATACAAACAATAGCAGTCCTTACGGTTTGGTTGTAGGGCACCAGGGCTGTTATCTAGAGCAGCTTCTGATCGGCCATCACCAAATTCAAACACTGGTAATCTCGTGGCTGCCATAAGATTCAATTCACTCACTTTCCTCTAAAGGGAATTTTCAAAGCTATTCACCACGGCAGTTATAACATATCCTGCCATTCTGTATTGTCTGATTGTGAAAGAGCTGGAGGGCAGTTAACATATACGACATGAGGGGAATAACAACGTGATGGATCCCACTCAGAATGCGTAAAGGCCCCCTGATGTACATTCTTAATGTCAATACTAAGGATTGGAATCCGTCCTCTGCTTGGCACAGGTTGGAGAACGATAATCTCTGCCCTGATATTGGATTATAGCTGACTGGAGAAGTCATGTTATTTAGAATACAAGCTCTGCAAAGCGTTCAATTTTCTAAACTCTGCAAACTACTCACAGCAATCTGTAGGGAATTGTTATCTAAATGGTTATAGTTAGATGGTTATAGATTCACTTTGAGAACTTGGACAATAAAGCCAAACCATTTTATCTTAAATGCACCATTCCAGTTTCAGTTCACTACAAGTGGGAGTTGAGCGATATACCCCACAGTATCCGAAACTTACATTCGGAGGGTGAAATCAGATTTATTAATAGGTAGCTTTATTACAAGTCAGTGCAGTTTGAATTCAGCAGGGGGACTGGGTACACCATACTGTTACAAATTTACATAATGTAAAAGGTTTTGGTGCAGTACTTAGAATGAACCTTCAATGTATTGTATAAATAAAGCACTTCAAATTAATATTCAAAAAATCTGAACAAAAATAAATGACAAAATAGAAATATAGACTGCTGTTCCTGCAAGATTTTACATAGCTCTGCTCTTTAAAGGCAATATCTATACGATGTTATAAGCCCCACCCCCGTTGTGCTTTATGTACAAAGGAAACATGGTTTAAATGCTCAATATTACAGTTTTTAAAATTGTATTTTAAATCTTCAGAAATTCTACACAATTTCAATGTGCCTAAAGTACTATGCTATGAAATGCTGTTTAAATTCCTTACTGACAATCCTGGATTAAACACAACTTTAAAATGCAGTTTAATTAATTTAGCAAAGTTGAATTAAGAACTCAAAATGTTAAATTTATGGTAAAAGAAAGAACCAAGCTGTGACTATAGAGCAGAGCTGGCGAAATGTATCGTTTACAGGCCTCCCCTCATCTTCTGCAACAATGTCTATAGATCCATTTATAAAATTTAAAGGATCACTATAGGGTCAGGAACACAAACATGTATTCCTGACCCTGTAGTGTTAAAACCACCATTTAGCCCCCCTGATCCACTCATGCTTCCATAAATATAGCAAAATCTTACTTGTATTCAAGCCTGAAGCTGTAACTCTGCATGCTGTTTGCCTCAAAAAACAAACAGTCTGCTGAGATCATCAGAAGTGGTAGTCTGATCCAATCACAATGCTTCCCCATAGGATTGGCTGAGACTGACAAGGAGGCAGATCAGGGGCAGAGCCAGCATGATTCAAACACAGCCCTGGCCAATCAGCATCTCCTCATGGAGATGAACTGAAACGTTCAGTGTCTGCATGCAGCGGGAGGAGATACTGAATGTTTGGATGCATTTTAGGCAGCCATGAGCCAGGGAGGATCTTTGACAGCCATCTGAGGAGTGGCCAGTGAAGTTATCACTAGGCTGCAATGTAAACACTGCATATTCTCTGAAAAGACTGTTTACAGCAAAAACCCTGAAGGTAATGATTCTACTCACCAGAAAAAATTCAATAAGCTGTAGTTGTTCTGTTGACTATAGTGTCCCTTTAACTAATCAAACACACATTTAGGCAGCTTCTGCCAGCAAAAACACAACTAGCTGTAGTGGTTATGGTTCTTGAAGTGTTTCTTTACTGTACAGTGCACTTAAATTTCAACACCTTCAGAATTCTAAATAAAAATGGAATTGGAAAATGAATTTCAAATTTAGTCAAAATAGCCGAAGTGGAAAATTTGCTTTCCTTTTTAGCTATCCTGACCTTAAATTTAAAATTCACTTTACTAAATTATCCTGCATATCTTTATTACACATATCTATTCAGATACATTAGATACTAATTTTGTATATATTGTGTATTAATATTGTTTTTGTATTTTATTGTACCCTAATGTAACAATGCAATGTTTTGTGGACCCAGGACATACTTGAAAACGAGAGAAACCTCAATGTATCCTTCCTGGTAAAATATTTTATAAATAAATAATACTGCTAAGGGGTTACTTACCTCCTCTCCAGGGTTTCAGCACTGCCGCCACCCAGTCCCAGCTTGTTCCTACCACTTTGTAACGTGCTTGGTTCTGCCTGGGGAAACATCTCCAAATACAGCAATCCTCCCTCATACCGCCGACAGACATCACTCTGTTCCTTATTGCACCCAGCAAGAATGAGACACTTGCTGGAGATAGCACTGTGAAAGAGCCGTAGAACCACCTATAAGAGGTCTCCTGCTAATAGATTCATGGCCATGTCATATTCTGTGTCCTCAATCTTTGATGGTTAAAATAACTGCATCGTCCTGTCTATTTCATTCATCACAAAGAAGAGAGGGGGTGCCATAAATAGCTGTAATTAGTGACACCAGCAACTCTTCCAATTCTCTGCGCTGTTTGAAGTGAGATGGAGCAGGTAGAGCTACCGTATATTATTCAGAAAATACATATCTAGAAGGCAATTGTTTCAAACAAATCCTGAGTAGTATGTTTAATTAGCTCATATTTCACATATGTATTTGTGATGCGTGGAAAATAAAATTAAATAGGGAATTAAAGTTCTGTCATTAAAAAAGGAAAAATTAAAAGAAAGCTATAGGCAATTTCCAACGTTTTATTCAATGGTGTGAATTCCAGAGAAGTAACAGCTCTCCTTTATAGGGAACCTTTAAGATTCGCAATGCATGTTTTATTTCTCCTCTCTAGAGCCTTACAAACTAGAAAATTGACTTTTCATGGAGCCATACAACTTCACATTAGATTGCATTTTTATTTTTAAACTACTTAGTGAGAAATGAGCCAGCACCTGCTCTGTACAGAAATCATTCAATATTTTAATAAGTTTGTTTTGGAATTATTGTAATCATCATTAAAAAGACGTTATACTAAATAATGGATTTGTAGAGAGAGTGTGCAGGATCACACACTGCCATTAAATTATGGATAACCGGCACAGCGGACACCAAGCTACAGGTCAATCTGATTTTAAACTGTATTCTTTCTTTTCAAAGAGATTACCATCTCCTAACATAAAGAAAAATACACACAGTTTTTATAATGGTGATTTATGGCTAAACACAGTGTAATAGAGTGTTTAACCTCATTAACAACAGATCCTTGTGGACCGGGATCCCTGGATTACATTTATTATAGATGTGGAAACATTCGTGGTGTGTTCAGAAAAAAATGGGGTAATTCCCATGAAAACAGGCACAATCCATTGGAGATTACTCCACGCTTCCAACTTGAGCTCCCTTTACAAATGGCGGCATATTGAGAAATCTCCCACTGCCGTCCCTTTAAACTGTTTGTTGGAGAAACTCCGGTATGAGTTGCACATGAAATGTTACAGCAATTACTCACATGATACTGCAACATCCTGCTATTACCAACATAAACATATGGAACTAACTGACAAAGGGCAGCAGCACACAATTACTATTCAGTTAACACTTACTCATTGTGAAGGCCTCTCTGAATGGAAGCTTGGTGACATACCTTCTACCATAATCATGCCTGGTCCAGTATCGGAGGATGAAAACCTTACACGTAGTGATGCATTTAGGTTCTGGGGATGGGTAGACAAGACAACTCTTCTCGAAATAAATAAAGTTCTAGAATCTGAGAGTGACAATCTCTTGTATGTAGTCCTTTGGGATGCCATCTCCAAGGAAAGCTGCTCGGCAATGAAAGGGTCAAACAGAGAGGGTCATAAAACTAACCATAAACTATATTTCACTTGATAACGAATGTTCAAAGGACTGCAGTTTTATGTCCTACATTTATGACCATAAAATAAAGATTTCACGGGTTCAGAGTCAAATTCTGCAAACGTAGCATTTATTTCCTTATGATTTTGTATGTATGGCCTGTGAGTGGTTAAATGCAAACGTAGAGCATTTCAGAGGAGGGGTTCCTTTAAATGAATCACAGCGTGATTTTAAATCCTATGCTGAATGCAATTACACAGGAATCCTATGTTATCGGTATCAGTTTTATTAGATAAACCTTCAAGGTTACAATATCCTGGTAGAAAATCTGCTGATATGAAAGTTTGGCAGATACATAAATGGCGTTGTGTGATGCTGAGCCAGTGTCACATTGTCTATAAAGGTTAGGGAAATATAGAGAAAGTGATTAACAAAGAATACAAAAAAAGATAAGGACAACAACATGGAATTAAAAGTAAAATAATTTTACAGTCCTAACAGTCAATGAAAGCTTACACCCAGTACAATACAGATACGGCCTCCATGGCTGGAGGTCTGATACACTAGAGGAAACAGAATCTTAAATAGACAGAAATAAATAATACATTCAAATATCCCAAATACCATTCCGTCTCTCACTGGTGCAGAATATGAAGAGATCTCTGAACATAGTAGTTACCTATGCATTTTGTAGCGGTTATAGTGCAACACGCTCCCTTCTCCCGTCATTCTGTTACAATAGCTGCATGGGGAAATCCAAGACTGAATCGCATGGTTTTTATTTGCATATTTTAAATACATTATCTCCCTAATGGACTGTAGTGTTCAGGGCTTTACAAATGATAACTAGAAAATCTTACCACCGAACACATCTATAGACAGGGCTCTCACAATGTATCCTGTTAGCGGTTACACAGGCATTGGTAAAGCACCTTACAATGCCTGACAGGGATATGTAACCCGATCATGTATATAAATTAGGTCTACAATAAATTAGAAAGTGGTTGGGAATATAGAAACAGCTGCGAAATGGTTAAAAATAAGGGAAATGTACAATTTTAGAGGTCTCTTACATAGAGCACTTGCCAGATCTCTGAATGCGGTTAAAACGGATATAATCCATTGCAGTGGTTAAAACATACACACAGAGCTGGGGTAACAGCAAATCAGTCTGACGCTCTTCTGTGTGTCCAGTTACTAGTGTTACACTACAGGTAAAGATAATTAAATTCTTCATTTCATAAATCAGTGCATCATAGAATCCCTTTCTCCTCCGTGGGTAACCTTAGTTTCATACAGCAGGTCAACAACAAAAATAAAAACATATGGGAAATCTCATTATAGCAAATACAAAGTGAGATGAATATTTCTCAGTTACTGCCATACAATGGAATCTAGCTTTCGAATGTCAACATATAGTCCCATGCGATAATGTATAAATGAAGCATATATTGTTACATGTTGAACAGAGAATTAGCGGTCATGTGGACAAGAAAACAACACACGTGGTATTTGGCAGATGGCATGTTCACTAGAGGCTATCTTACAAGCTAAAGGTCATCCGTAAGGTCACCTGGACAGATTGTCCTACCTCCAAGCTTTCATCTGCTAACACCAGCTCAAACACACAAACAGTATGAAGCCACAAGCAATGGAGACGTTCCCAACTAAAAACAATGTGGTATTAGGTAACAGAGCAGGCAGCCAGTCTATAGCGTGTAAAAAGTATCATTGTGCTGAATTCACCAAGTAGAACAGGTGCCAGTGCCTTCCTTAAACCCACAAATGGTTCCATTCAATGGAAGACTGTAGTGGTCCTTACTGCCACTCAACACAAACACATTTATAAAAGGTACAATAGCTGTGAATATATGAGTAAACACAGGAAAGATGAGATGGGTAATAGCGGCAGAATGACAAAGCCATTGAATCAGCAACAGCCATGGAGGTGCTGAGCTTAAGGTGGATAGGGACCCAAATGGAAGTAGTCCGAGATTAACAAAAAAACAAAGCCAATATGTTCTTATCACGGGTAACTAAAGATTGGCATGCTCAGAGAAAATATCGCCATGCGTGTGGGCAGTGAATATTCTACCAATTGCGAGTTATTTGCTCCAGCACCGAGATTCTCATGTGGGTTCCAGCTCATGGTGAGATCTTTTATTTATACAAGTACGTTAATAAAAAAAAGCTCAGTCTGCAATACAGCATTAAACATATTGTCCATAAAGCACTAGTGTCATTCAGCTTGTCGATGAAGTAAAAAAAAAAAAAAAATCGCTGTAAGCCATGATAATGTTTTCAATTATCAGTGGGAGGAAAAATTCAAAAAAATTAACTTGGAAGCAACAAAAAATATATTTATATATATATATATATATATAACCCTGTATCAGAATAAATTACAGCAACTGGAAAATGTCTTGTTCAGTGGTCAATATGTGTCACCGTATTGCCATCCACTCCGTGACATAAACCACGCTCATAAAAAGAAAATAGACAGCTTTGCTTGCGATGAGAAACAGCTCTGATCGTCCCACTAGGCGAACACTCGCTTGGATTGAATTTCCTGGCTTCAACAAATACAGCAAAGTGAATCGGATTGTTCCAGTTAACCAAAGGGTTTTTAGACAGAAAATTCGGTGCCGCCTTTCCGTGCTCTTATTAAGCGTCTGATTTGTAAACCTGCGAATGGATTTATCCATAGGAAAGATGGCGGGCCCCCGAAGACCGATCTCATGCCATCCCACCTTAGCCTTCGCTCCCAGGTAGGCTTCTCGCTTTTGAGTCGTTCAATTTCCTGTCAAAGAGCAAATAAAATAGATTGTTATAATATTACTACACCAAATAATAGAAATAAGGGTTTCATAGCAGAGCTCATAGTTGCAGACTATTTATGGAGGATGTTTTTCTAATATCATCCAGATATAGTGAGACATCAAACCATGGCTACCTTTCCTGTCTGTACACACAATATTCATTTTCTGTGTGTGGGAGAAAAAAAATCAAAAGACCCTGGTGTGTATTTCACCTAACGATGTTCTCCATTTTTATTTATTTATTGGGCTATTAGGACAGACCCTCTAAGACACATTTGCCTATTTGCAATCAAGTTAAAAATTATTTCTCAACCAGGGAAGCTTAACAGGGACACTGGGCACCATAACCACTACAGCTTATTATTGTGTTTATGGTGCAAGAAGACTGAATGTTCTAAAATCCCAGACACGCACTCTCACCCGCCACTCAGAAAATGCAAATGTGTCTTTGGGAATACTATTCAGCCATAGAATGGCCTACTTGCTTAATGACAACAGAGCTCCCAGTGCTAAATAAACACTAAATATTGAGCCAGCCGTGATTGAAGCTTTGAGTCTGGAGCGTTTTACTTTTATATATGGAGGCATAAACAAATCTCAAGCTGTGACACAAAGATCCAGGGAGATTAGATTCCTTTTCTGTAATCTCCACAGAGCTAACGGAAGCAGCTAACACATCTCATGCCCCCCCCCGCCCCCCTCCTTCTCAATGAGCTGCACTGAGAAAGCTCCAGAACAGAGGATTCTCATTGAGAAGACTTTGATTGGAGTATTCCCCAGCACAGGGGGGGGGGGGGGGCACATCTACAAAATGCTTTCAGTGTAGTGTTTCTTTAAAGGGACACTATAGTCACCAGAACAATTACAGCTTAATGTAGTTCTTCTGGTGAATATAACCATTGCCTTCAGGCATTTTTATGCAAACACTGCATTAAAAAAAAAAGGCAGTGTTTACATTGCATCGAGGGACACCTCCAATTGGCCACTCCTCAGATGGCTACAGGAGGTGCTTCCTGGCTCAGTGCTGCACAGTAGGAAGCACTGCCGTTCAGCATCTCCATGCTCTGCGGCAACGCTGAATTTTCCTCACTGTTTCAATGCATCTCTATGAGGAGGTGCTGATTGGACAAAATTGTGTTTGGCCCTGCCCCCTTGCTGCTTTCATGGGAAAGCATTGGATTGGCTAAAAATCGGCAATTCTGATGATGTCACCAAAGGTGTGGAGCTGGCACCGGCAGGTCCACGCAGTGCTGGAAATAAGGTGAGTTGTTCATGCTTTTAATGGGGTTGGGGGGGGGAGAGAAGGTTAACACTATAGGGTGAGGAATACATGTTTGTGTTCCTAACCCTATAGTGTTCCTTTAATCGCAAAATTGGAACAGATTTTAAAAAGCGTTAAATGAACTTCAAATTCTCTCTATTACCTTATTTCCCTGAAAATAAGACATCCCCCGAAAATAAACCCTTGCTTATTTTCAGAGGATGCTCGGAATATAACCCCTACCCCGAAAATAAGCCCCAGTTGCTAGTTTGCTAATTGCGAATTTTCCCAGACCATAGAGTCGCGGGATTCCATTCGCTAGTGAACTAATCTAGGTTCGGAGAGGGATTCCATGCCCTAATGAACTGGTCTATGTTCGGGGGAATTTCCTTGAATGTAGACCTGCTTTCTAGCACATGCCTGCTACCGTTTCCCTCACGAGAAAATAAGCCTTGGTGCGTTTTTTGGGGGAGAATTAATATAAGGCCCGGTCTTCTTTTTGGGGAAAGTCTGTAGTAAGAGGTCTATTACAAATCACAATTTATTTTGCACATTCCCTTAAAGCAGCTCTGACACTTCGCTGGTTCCCTTTTTGTTTTTATATTTTGCTTTGGTTTTATTTTTTGAAATCCAACTTAGTTTTCTTAGTTATACAGGGAGTGCAGAATTATTAGGCAAGCTGTATTTTTGAGGATTAATTTTATTATTGAACAACAACCATGTTCTCAATGAACCCAAAAAACTCATTAATATCAAAGCTGAATATTTTTGGAAGTAGTTTTTAGTTTGTTTTTAGTTATAGCTATGTTAGGGGGATATCTGTGTGTGCAGGTGACTATTACTGTGCATAATTATTAGGCAACTTAACAAAAAACAAATATATACCCATTTCAATTATTTATTATTACCAGTGAAACCAATATAACATCTCAACATTCACAAATATACATTTCTGACATTCAAAAACAAAACAAAAACAAATCAGTGACCAATATAGCCACCTTTCTTTGCAAGGACACTCAAAAGCCTGCCATCCATGGATTCTGTCAGTGTTTTGATCTGTTCACCATCAACATTGCGTGCAGCAGCAACCACAGCCTCCCAGACACTGTTCAGAGAGGTGTACTGTTTTCCCTCCTTGTAAATCTCACATTTGATGATGGACCACAGGTTCTCAATGGGGTTCAGATCAGGTGAACAAGGAGGCCATGTCATTAGATTTTCTTCTTTTATACCCTTTCTTGCCAGCCACGCTGTGGAGTACTTGGACGCGTGTGATGGAGCATTGTCCTGCATGAAAATCATGTTTTTCTTGAAGGATGCAGACTTCTTCCTGTACCACTGCTTGAAGAAGGTGTCTTCCAGGAACTGGCAGTAGGACTGGGAGTTGAGCTTGACTCCATCCTCAACCCGAAAAGGCCCCACAAGCTCATCTTTGATGATACCAGCCCAAACCAGTACTCCACCTCCACCTTGCTGGCGTCTGAGTCGGACTGGAGCTCTCTGCCCTTTACCAATCCAGCCACGGGCCCATCCATCTGGCCCATCAAGACTCACTCTCATTTCATCAGTCCATAAAACCTTAGAAAAATCAGTCTTGAGATATTTCTTGGCCCAGTCTTGACGTTTCAGCTTGTGTGTCTTGTTCAGTGGTGGTCGTCTTTCAGCCTTTCTTACCTTGGCCATGTCTCTGAGTATTGCACACCTTGTGCTTTTGGGCACTCCAGTGATGTTGCAGCTCTGAAATATGGCCAAACTGGTGGCAAGTGGCATCGTGGCAGCTGCACGCTTGACTTTTCTCAGTTCATGGGCAGTTATTTTGCGCCTTGGTTTTTCCACACGCTTCTTGCGACCCTGTTGACTATTTTGAATGAAACGCTTGATTGTTCGATGATCACGCTTCAGAAGCTTTGCAATTTTAAGAGTGCTGCATCCCTCTGCAAGATATCTCACTATTTTTGACTTTTCTGAGCCTGTCAAGTCCTTCTTTTGACCCATTTTGCCAAAGGAAAGGAAGTTGCCTAATAATTATGCACACCTGATATAGGGTGTTGATGTCATTAGACCACACCCCTTCTCATTACAGAGATGCACATCACCTAATATGCTTAATTGGTAGTAGGCTTTCGAGCCTATACAGCTTGGAGTAAGACAACATGCATAAAGAGGATGATGTGGTCAAAATACTAATTTGCCTAATAATTCTGCACTCCCTGTACATAAGACGACAGGGAGACTACTTTTTCATTGGGAGCGTGATTTTGGCAGAGGGCGGGGCTTCAGCAAAGGTACAGAGTAAATATAAACTGCAAGAAAAAAAAAGTAATTGTCCCTTTAAAGCAGTTTGGACATTTTCTGCTATATTCTGTTAAGATTCTAGACCTAGAAAGTGACACCCCAGCTTTGTGTCGTGAACGTGGGAGATGGGGGGGCGGGAGGTGACGCTAATGGTTATACTTACATGAAGCTCATACCGCAGGAACCACTGTCTTTTTTCAGATCTGTGTGCTTCATCTCCCAGGATCCCACGTCACTACTGTAGGCTTGTGCATGCGCAAGAGTACAAGACGAGGTCTATGGGCACTTATACAAAAATGCAGGATCCTCCACAGACCAACTCTTGTGATGTGTGAGAAGATTCCTGTTTCCCATAGTGGGAACTGTCAAAAGTGGACAACAGCAGCTCTGGCTTTTATCAACTTTTGAGAGTTTCATCATTGCCTTTAAGTTGAAGTAACTCCTACTTAAGAGTGATTGCGTTGGAATTTCAATAACATTCCAATGGAGTCTGCATGATTAGAAACATCATCTTTATGAAATACTCGAAAGGTCCCCAGAGCTTAACACAAAGCAAAATCATCTTTTACTGACATGCCATAAATTCATACATTTTGATTTACATCCTGGACTGACAAGACAATAAATCTGCCAAAAGAGATCTTACCGTCTCATCGTTGCATATTGAGTGGATTTGGGTGCCAAACATAACGGCTGTAAACGTCAAAAACAGGAGCCCCTCCAGACAGAGGAAGATCATCAAGATGACTGTGACTGGGGGGGAGAAGTTACTGCATGCTGGAGGTAGAAAAATGTTCTCTTTAAATGGTTTCAAACCAATGCTGGGAGTTTTCATACAAAAATGCAAGTGGCAAAATATACTTTATATTCTATACTTAAACCTACATTCATACTGCTGCAACAAGCATCTGCTAGAAAAAAGGTATTGGGATATTGGAGATCAACATTTATATCTAGGCTTGTTTTTCTCATTAATTACAACACTGGACGGCTTGGCTCCAGGCACACAACCCTATACAGGTTGTTAGTAGAAAAATCCATGCAGATTACCACTACTCGCTGTAAAGGCTGTGGTGCCAGGAGTACCTTGGCACCATCCCCCTGTAAGTAGTACAGTTTGCCCATTTACCCATGTCTTGCCAGGAGCCCATGCAGGACCAGTCCCGCTGGCTGTTGGTGTCAGCTTACTGCACTTAGCCAATGAGCACAGTCCTGTATCAGCTGTACAGAGACATCCAGATTCTCATAGAGTTCTGCTAACACAAGGATTTGATACTTTACTTAAGTTGTATTTGTCATGACAGGTACCAATAACTCTTTGGATATTATCAGTAATAAGCACAAACTATCTTATTCGCTGCTTAAGGAGTTACTCCACTTTTTTATTTAGCCATTCTTAGATAGCTCTTCTATGAGGAATGCTTCACATAACGTTGGATAATTATAGGTAGGTGTACAAAACAGAGGAGCCGTATGGAGGACTTCTGCCTCTGGGATTTTAAAAAGTCATGTAGAAAAATGCTATAAATGTTACTTTGTGGGCATGCCAAGTACAAGGGATGGGATTACTGAAGGTTTTAGTAAAAAATCTAAAAGGAAATAATAAATGCATTGATTGGCTCATAAAGCCATTCTATTACCTGTCCACTGTCCTCGGACACAGGTAAATAGCTGGATCCCACACAGAGCCAAAGCATGAGCCGAAATCAGAGCTATATACATCTGGAAGCAAAGAGAGAATTCCACACTCAGTGTTGCATATGTACACTCTTTTTCTAACTCTACAAATAAAGTGACAAGCTCTCTGATTCTTCGTAAGCACTTGGTAACGGCTATAAATAAGTAGGTGGAAGGTTGTCCAACACAGGTTTTTGTCTACCTGGTAAGTTGGCTTCCACCTGGTTAACTCCTGTGTGCTACAAACACCCAACATAAAACAAGACTTGTATTTTCAATATGTGCGCTATACATATCTCCAATTAGCAGTTGCAAGAAGTTTCATTCATGAAATAAAAGTATGAAACCATTTGACGGGCCAATAATTACATGGTTAAATAAAAAAGATTGTCAATGTACTGCAATAATGAGAAGAGATTGTTTTGATGCCTGGTATGTCTCGTCCACAATCCAATACAATGCCCCCCGATCTGGCTACATCGCTAAATCCAGTCTAAAGAGAAAAGGACTCACCGTAAAAAGCACGAAAAACCTCTGGTTCTTCTCTCCCACACAATTATTTACCCAGGGACAGTGATGATCCATCTTCCGGATACATCTTTTGCAAATACTACAACAACAAAAAACGATGGGGGTTGGACACCTTTAGATGATTATTATGAATTATTGTAACTATTTATAATTCACGATCATATTCGTTAAACTCTACTAAGGAAACGTAAATAAGGATTAATTGCAGGTAGGGGGGGAAACAAGGTCTTTCTTATTGAAAATGGATTAGGAAATGCTTTTAAATCATGGCTGTCTGGGAAGATCTATGGAGGTATAGGACAAGCAGTTCTTCAGTACCATCAGCAGCACATTTCACCACTAGATGGCAGCGCTATTTTTCTATCTAAATCCCTTTAGCCTCTCCCATGTAAAGCTATGTAGTGGGTTCTAGCACAGTTTAAAGAATCCGTGTAATTCTATAGAACAATATTGTATTGTATTTCTGCAATATCTGCAGCACAATCGCGCTAGCATTCAACGTCCAGTGAACAGTTTCACAGTAGACAAACAAGGAGAGGAAATAATTATAACAATATAGAAATATTAAGGATTCAATGTATTGACATTTATTAGACACAATTCCGGTTTTCCAGGAGAATGATGGAGTATAGTCACTGTTTCATCACTCAGAGACTATTATTGCACATTAAACACAAAGAAGGAAGGCTTTGATCTCCGGCAGGCTCTAGGCACGGTTTTAACCTGCAGTAAGATGGATTTGCCATTGAAGCTCTGAAACACCAGTCATCAGTAAACGGACAAGAGTAATCGAGAGGGCTGGAGGGAGAATCGCTCTATGGGAATAGGAAGCTATTCATCACCGGGAACAAACTGAGCAGATTTGCAACGTGTGAGACAGTCTAACGTTCACCAGTCATGTACCCTGTATAAAACGATCCGTTCACTGCACATTTATGGAGAAATCTTTCTATCAGTTTTATTCTTGGTTAGTGTGGGCATTATGGGATTCAGTGTTTGGCATCGAATGACGACACTCACTCACATCCATCCCACCGTACAAGATGCAAAACTGGTGATAACATTATATTAACACAATGTAGGAACTAAGTGTTTTATTTATATACAGTTGTAGATAACATGTATACTTGTATATTTGTGCTTCATTTAATTTGCCCCAAAATGGATCTTGCTGTGTTTCCTAAATCTTCTAAAGATCTCCTATTGTAATGTTCACCTTCCCAGGACCTGCATGCACAGGTATAGGAAGCTGGTTCCACTTTCACGAGGTACGCAAAGTTAGAAAAAAACTTTTTTTTTTTTTTAAAGTTTATTCTATAGACATACTACAGACATACTACAGGGCTCGACAGATCTGGAATCTAGGAGCCAGCTAAAACAAAGTTAGCAGCCAGATTTTTTTCAAGGTCAAAAACACATTTAGAAAAGGGGCACTATAGTCACCTCTAGTGGGAGCTTAATGTAGTTGTTCTGAAGTGTATATTTTGTCCCTGCAAAAGATGGACATTTCAGGCAAAAAGCAGTTTTTACATTGCTGCCTAGTAACACCTAGTGACAGTCACTCAGACGGCCTCTAGAGGTGCTTCCCTGGCCACCTACGTTAATACTCCCCCATCTATGAGAAGAAGTTAAATGTCGCAGCAAGACGTTTTGTCGTGCATGCGCAATAGTCTTCCAATGCCTTTCTATGGGGAAGTATTGGATTGGCTAGATTGAGGATCTCAGCCATGGAGGTTGGGCCAGCCACAGTGTCACCAGCATGGTGTGGGGAAAACTGTAAGTGAAAGCACCTTTCCCATGTGATTGGAGGGGGCAGGTCACCTAAACATGCACATTCACTGAGACACACACCCACTGACTCACTGACAGACGCACACAAACACAGTACACTCTGATTGGAGTCTATTACAGTACAATGTAAACATTCCAGCGAGAGATACATTAATAAAACCAATCCGTCTGCATGGCAGACACGTTACCTGCAGTGATGCGCACGCTCTGGTTTGATACTACAACATTTCGGACACTTATATATAACTTCTCCGGGTTTGAGCTGCAGACTCTCCATGTACTCCTTAGTGGCGTTTCCTTTCGGCACAGCCCCCTAGAATCATTCCAAATAATACACAACGGCAAATAGTCATCTACTATCAGAGATGGATTAAGATCTCACAGGGCCCTAGGCATGTTACCAGCTTAGACCCTCCTTAAAGGACCACTCTAGGCACCCAGACCACTTCAGCTTAATGAAGTGCTCTGGGTGCCTGGTCCTTCTAGGGTTAACCCATTTTTTAATAAACATAGCAGTTTCAGAGAAACTGCTATGTTTATGAATGGGTTAAGCCTTCCCCCATTCCCTCTAGTGGCTGTCTCATTGACAGCCACTAGAGGCGCTTGCGTGCTTCTCACTGTGATTTTCACAGTGAGAGCACGCCAGCGTCAATAGGAAAGCATTGATAATGCTTTCCTATGCGACCGGCTGAATGCGCGCGCAGCTCTTGCCGCGCGTGCGCTTTCAGCCCAGGAGGAGGATCGGAGGAGGAGAGAAGGAGGAGAGCTCTCTGCCCAGCGCTGGAAAAAGGTAAGTTTAAACCCCTTTCCCCTTTCCAGAGCCGGGCAGGAGGGGGACCCTGAGGGTGGGGGCACCCTCAGGGCACTATAGTGCCAGGAAAACGAGTATGTTTTCCTGGCACTATAGTGGTCCTTTAATTCTTTACATACGGATGGTTAAAGAGGCCACAAAAACTCATAGTTCTGGAGAATATTGGATCTTGGAATGAGTCCGCTGCCTGGTTTAAATATGGCGCAGAGGAGCCTTCCGAATAATCCTGATATTGTGATGTATGGGAATGATTGAAACCAGACACGACGTATCACAACTTTGTAAATGGAAAGTTTATAGGAGTTTTAGGATTGCATCATACAGATAAGACAGAAGGTGACCAATTCAGCACCAGTTAAGATCTGAATACACCAATTATGGCTAGTATAAACAAAGAAACCTTTGGGGACACTTTTCTCATCGGAAGAATGAGAGCCTGGTAGTCAAAATGTGTTGTGCTTGCTTTTATTTTTATAGTGTAATCAGGGCTCAAAAGTTCCACTCGCTACTAGCCATTGGAGAGTACAAATTCACCCACGGAGGGTATACTATGGCTTGCATGGGTGAGTAACTTTTAAGGCCTGGCCAGTAGCACAACCATGGTGTAATACGTTTGCGTGTTTAAATAAAGACATTGCTCATACATGGCATCATGGAGTATTTTTCAGATGACCCTAGTCTGACAGACAGACAGACACACACCAAGCAGTTAATGACAGGCGTCTACCTGTACGATTATTCTCAGTAACAGTAAGTAGTAACAGGAACTCACCGGATCTGTGAGCATTGTTCTCAAGTGGGACGTCAATGCGAGCACTGCCATGCAGTTGAAGACGGTCCCATTAATCACAGAATACCAAAAGTCTTTGGAAGGCAGGAGCATCACAAACGTCACTACAAAATCCGCGTAGATAACCAGCATCCAAGTGATAACCGCGCACACCATCCCACAGCCATCGCGAATAAACCACACTCTGTCGGTAAGTTCTCCTTCCGAAGGGGGAGAATCGTAGCCGTCGCTCTCATTAAGCAGAGGGTGGTGTTCGACATCACGGAATCTGTGACCTGCGGACTGCATGGCGTGTGGGGTTTGTCCTGACAGAGAAAATATTCAGTAATTAAAAACTCTTAGAACACAGACTGGGCCTGCTTTCAATGAAGGTGCTCTAATCAGCTCGTGGTCACTATATACCACAGGTGAGATGTCATTTCCCTTAACCCCTTAAGGACCAGACTTCTGGAATAAAAGGGAATCATGACATGTCACACATGTCGTGTCCTTAAGGGGTTAAACAAAGTAACTTTACACAATTTCTGACATTATGTAGGTTTAACAATTTTTGTTTTTCTGTTTTGCTGCAGAGCAAGACACCAAAGTGAGCATTCGTGTGAATTTCAAATTTAAGTGCAAAGTAGTCGATTTGAAATTATAGAAGACTTTTCAATTCACTCTGAATTCTTTTTTTTAGTAAAAAGACCTGATGGCATCCACTCCTCACTTCCTGTATGTGCAGTGACCAACTGCTTCCCCCGTCAACAAGAGAAATGTAACTTACAGACAGATTGCATGTTCTGTTGAGGACAACTGACACATAGGACTCATTAACCACTGAATTAAAAACATTGCATTATATAATCAGCGAGCAGCGCAATTTAAAGCACTTTCCCCACAATAAACCAAACGTGTTCTTTCCACGTATAACGGTTCATTTCCAATACCCGGTTCCTGTTTTGTTTTCTATTGTATGAGAAGCAGCAGATCTAATGGGAAGATACGATGCTAGGAGTACTAAGTGCACCGATTAGGTCATGCAGTCCCCACATCAACTGCTATTGATTGTGAAAGCTATAGGGAGATACGTAGTGAAGTATTATTGATTGAGAGACAAAATGTAACTGAGCAGACTCTCTCTCGCTCTATACACAGCTCGCCCAAGGTAATGTAATCCCCAAGATCTGAACTGGCAGAGTGACCTCAGTTTGAGAAAGCACTAGTCAATATCCTTTCGTTACACAGCCTTCTTTGTAAAGATGATTAAATCTCGGAGTTCTGGATGGGAACACTGAGTGCAATATTACATTAAAGGGACACTATAGGCACCCAGACCATTTCAGCTCAGTGAAGTGGTTTAGGTGCAGTGTCCCAGCACCCTTAATCCTGCAGTGGTAATTACTGTAGTTTTTAATAAACTGCAATAATTACATTAAAGGGTTAACTCCACTTCTAGTGGCTGTATACCAGACAGCCGCTAGAGGGATTCCGGGGTCATTAGGCGACTTTTGGTCTCCTGATGCTGGACGTCCTCACGCTACGCATCGACCAAAACCCCATAGGAAATCATTATACTTAGGAAGTCCTAATGTGAGCGTGGTACTAACAGTATAGTTTCCCTTTAAGCACTCAGTGAATTGAAGAATGGCAGAATAAGGGTAGCCAGAATTTAGATGGCAAACTGTTGGAATTGGCCGCCATAATGCTTTAGCAGTAATTCTGGGGTCTAACTTTTGGACATCGCTGCATTAGACAGTCATTCAGTTGGAAACAGAGACTGTCATTCTCCATGAATTCAGAATTAAGAAGGTGGTCACCTCCCCTGAGCTCTGTCATGTTCATTATTCCTGTATTTTCAAACGTAATTGCTTCTGTCAGCTAAACAAGTAGCAGAATAAAACTCTGAGTGACTATTTAGTATTTTTTTAACCAAGTGGTTGTTATCGCCTGTCTGGGCCCATGTGAGTCGGTGTACCGGACACATGCGAGATCCCTGAGCTGTCCGCAGGTTCCAGTATCCAGTGCGGCTCCTGATCTTTGCCGATACACAGATAGGGGTAATCATCAAGCTCTAGTGACTGCAGCTACAGACCGTTTGTCCCCCTCACTCTGCTCAGGAGATATATCAGGGAGCAGACTTGCCAGACACAGATTCCTGGCGAGTTTCCCTGAATTTACTTACAAGGAACCTCAGTGAGGTTAATCCTCAAACTGATCGTTTATAAGCCGTTAGTAAATATACTGAGAAATGAATGATATCTTGGCTATCTTGCCCTTACTGAATAACCCCAACAGTTACAGTGCAGTGCTCTACTAAAACAATACTTCAAAAAACAAGTTAACAATTAAAAATTCAACCCCCTTTAACATGCTGTATGTTACGTGTCTCAGAGTGACTAGATGGCAATGGGCGTGCAATTTTACACAGCAAATCATATTTACTGAGCGGCTACGACCACAAAACAACCAATTAAGATGAAACTGGATTCCAAATGTAAGCATTGCTTGGAATCAGAGTACTTTTTATGAGATCATATTTTACCAGCGACCGTATAAAACCATGAAAAAAAAAAAAGAGAGAGAGAGAGAGAGATTGAGATTGATTGCTATTTTAGAAAATGTGTGTACGGACAGTCACAAAGTAACGCTGGATGAGAAGGATGTACAGGCCCCACGATAGTCTCCCTGCCATCTGATAAACCCACTGTGACACAAACATTACAAAACACACGGTAACATCAACGTGGACCAGAAATCAAGGGTGGGGTGATGTTTTCTGAAAAACATTCATATCAAACAATGACAGCAGCTAATGTGTCACATTAAATATTTAATTTAACAACAAACATAAATTAGGAAAAAAACTAAAATCTGAATCCTGAGAGATCCACTGGTTACAAACATACACACAGAACCATGCTGGACTTACCTCACAGATTCCGTGAATGTTATTTTGACATAGCAGGCTGTTTGTGGGCTCCCAAGATACAATTAATCATGTCTGTTGTGATCTAGGAAGACAAAATGTAAGAACAGCTTTAGTATTTACACCTCAAGCAATACTGATGCCAAGCTATTCCCTCCCACAGATAGTAGGAGGGAGATTTAATGCTTCATGTCATTCACTTCCATCAGAGCCCGAGGCCGGGAACTTGCTAAGGAAAGCCGGATCAGTTATATTAACTGACGGCTCCAAGCAGGTGATAATAATCACAGCAACCGGACAACAGTCAGAAATCGTATTCAAAGCTCGGAAAAACTGGTTATACCGCCTTTACTGGCGCCGTCGCATACTACATTTTCCCATGATGCTGTGCCAGCATTATGGCAGTAAAAGCATGATGGGAAATGCAGTCCACATCATCTGGAGTGCCGAAGTTTGTCTAGGTCACTCGAAGTAATATAGCTTATAGGGTTAACTCTTCCTGTGTGGCACACTACAAGAGTTAATCCAATAAATGTTATTACTTAGAGTGGGGTAGATATGTACATAATTAAATTACCTGAAGCAAAAGTGTGTTAGCACAGAAAATACTTCAAAACACGTTTTACTGGGAATGTAACCAAACTGGTTCAACACGCACTTCTAAACATACCAGCAGGAGACAGTGACAGCTTCAGACACGCTGTGGGAGGAATGTCACAGGTTCCCATGCGGTGCGACAGTTTATATTAAATCTGGTCGTGCACACGGTGGCTGCGGTACGAGGCCATGGAATAGTAAGAATTCTTTGCGGTGTGGAACATGGAGCTGTTCATATTAGCTATCGATTTCTATCAATGCACACACACTGTTCGGTCATATCGAATCCCACTCTGACAACCCAAGTAACAAATTCACCCACACATTGGACGACAAGTTCTTGCCAAATAAACGCACGTCTTGGAGCAGAAATCATGTTTTGTTTTGTTTTTTTGCAATGGTCACTTGTCAGATTTCTTAACAAGGACTACTGTAGCCTCAACTTTTTATTCTTAACAGATTATCGTGGCCTACAATGGTCTGTGCACATTTTATTTTAAAATCTACCCTGTGCCCAAATGACCACGTCATTTATAAACTGGGTATATGCCCCGAGGAAGTGTTTTTAACCTTTATGAAATACATAAACAATAGACACAGGTAGAGGCAGGTCATCGCTTTTTGAACCCAAGTAACACCAGTGACAAGTGTTTTTTATTTTTTTTTATTAAAGGTGATTAACTAGTGCAAATATTCAGGACGCTCAGCCCAAGGAATGCAATAAATATAATGTACAAATTATAAAGTGCTAATTAGAGGCTTGGTAGCATGACGTATATCAACATAAAAAAAGTGATGGTGATTATGCTGAAAGGAAACCGCTTTCAACGCATTGTAACCAGAGGGCGCAGTCCTTCTGTCTGGGCAAATCAGGACTGACTGACATTATGTGCATTTAATCGTAGACAGTTCATATTGCACCATAGGAGAGGCCTGACCATTGTTTTACTGGTGGAACCAACTTTTGTATAAAACCACCATAACCCACTGCTAATGAACTTCACTGGCATATTTATTCTAAGCATAGATTTCTTTATACGTGACAGAGAAGAAACGCCAATCACCATAACCACTAGAGGAAAAGAAGGAGTGGTTATAACAACATCACTAGGACACCTCCGTTAGGGCCCAAGTTTAATAAACAGAATGCACGACACAAGGAGGCCCCAAACCCAACCATTAAATCAGAAATGTGAAGATAAGGCATTATCTGAAAATATCTCCTCAGATAGAATGAATAGATAACCAAATTACAGGAAACAGAGACCAAGTTGTTTCAACTGGAGTTCATCATATTCCAAGACAGAAGGTTTTGGTTTTTTTTGTAATTTTTTTTATGAAACAAGGAGGGATTATTAGATATGCCTCTAACCTCACAACATATCACGGCTTTGAACAAATGTTTAAAATATGCTCCGAAGGCCCATCTGGTCATATTATTATTATTATTATGATATTTATAGAGCGCCATCAAATTCCGTAGCGCTGTACAATGGGTGGTCGAACAGACATGTAGTTGTAACCAGACAAGTTGGACACACAGGAACAGAGGGGTTGAGGGCCCTGCTCAATGAGCTTACATGCTAGAGGGAGTGGGGTAAAATGACATAAAAAGGTAAGGATAGTATTAGACTAATGACAGTTGCAGAAGAGGAATCAGTCAGCAGCTATTAACAGTTTCATTGATACGCTTTTATGAAGAAGTGGGTTTTTAACGATTTTTTGGAGACTGGGTGAGCATCTAACGGATGTTCAATATCATTAACAAAGAAAGATTAAGAAAAAGTGAAAGAAAATGGATAAGAAGGAACTTAGAGAAGGTTAATTCTTCCAGTTCTTCAGCTGACAGAATTTTTTGGGATAGGTTCCCCCCCCACCCCCCTTTCCATCCCCGTCCTCCCCCCAAGTGTAGCCTGTTATAGGGGAACGATTATTATCCAAGCCCAAATTTAGCTTAGTTCCACGAGGAGACAATAAACAATGCTGTTTTAGAAGAACTATGATTGTACAACACACACACACACACGTACACACACACGCACACACAGTGTTGTTGATCAGATCCACAATAATGATTTCAGTTTTAAGGGTCATTTTTTGACTGTTGCAATTTAAGAGGGACTCCAGTTCCAATATAAATCACTCACATGAAATACCTTATTAGCAGATTAACACCACAATATTAATATGTATAATTTATAAACATTAATAAGTTATTCCATACTACAGAAAGGCCCTGTCTTGCGATAACAATTGGTTTCAATCCTGATAGAGAGATGATATTTCTATCGCTTGTTCGTGTTTTAACTTATAAAGTAAATGCGGGTTGCCATGGCAATCGCAAGCCACCCCAACTCCATCAATTTAATAAATATTTTGATAGTCTGTGTAATTTCCCTCCCTGGAAGTATCTCTCCCTATACAAGACAGACATTAAATTCTGCAGTTGAGGGTTTCCATGGCAACCAGTTTGTAACTTCTGTATATAAAAGAGTTTACGAATTTTAAGTTATCAGTGTAAAGATATCCCCTGGACTGCAAGGAAGGGGAGGCATGACTGCTGCCCTGCAGTAAGGGGTGGGAATATAAAAGATACAATGTTGCCTATATAGTGGGATATAAGAGGGAGAGCAGGGGGGTGGGACTCACCAGTGCAGAAGGAGCAGTCTGGAACAGTTTTCAAAGTTTCAGAGCCCTTTAGCTTCTAGCCTTCTGCTGTTAAAAAAAAAAAAAAAAAAAGCATTTAGTTACTTTACTCCAGTGTTAACTGCAAGCTAGGCCTTCCCTGCAAGATGGCTGATTTGTCAAGGGAGGCTTTGCTGGGGGTGCTGCAGGCCTACCTGGCTTCCAATGGATCCAGTTCTCTGGCAGAGCTGATGGCCGACTTTCCCCAGGCCCGGATGGAAGTGGAGCAGCCGGTGGCGGAGACCCCTTCTCTGGCCCGCGGGAGGAGGCCGAGGCGTTCTAGGCCTCCTTCCCGCCTTTCCCCCAGTCCGGTGCATAGAGGAGGGGGATCGGAGGCCGGGACCAGCAGGCAGCAGCCGGCGCCAGAGCATGGAGGCGGTGATGGCGGATCCCGGGCTTCCAGGAGGCAGCCGCGGGTGGTGAGAGCTGCGGTGAGGCGGGCCCAAGATGGCGGAGCGCGGGAAGAGCGCTCGCGCAGTCCTCCTTCTCTTCCGGTCCGGCAGGAAGTGACGCATCGACGTCTGACGTCCGGGCGGTGCGTGGAGACGCCGGACGTCACAAGGGCGCGTACGTGACGGACGCACGGCGCACAGTGCGGACGTCACAGGCCCCACCGGAGAACCCGGAAGTTCACGAAAATGCGGCGCCGGAGCCCCAGGGGAGCCGTGGGGGCGCCCAAGATCGGGATCGGAGGGCTGTACAGCCCAGGAGAAGGCTGGGGGCAGATGCCCTGCAGCAAGGAGAGCCCAGAACTCGGGGGCTGCCGGACAGGAGTCCAACATGGGACAGCACCCAGAGGAGGCTGCAGGAGGACTCGGAATCCAGATCAGAGGAGGAAGAGTTGGACCAGAGGACGGCTCCCAGACCTCGCCAACCTGAGCAGGCTACCGTGGCAGCTCCACTAAGCGGTGAGTTGGCTTGCGCTAGCACTTGGGGTAGCCTAGCTGGGGGACAGGGTGCGCTAGGGCAGGAGCAGGCTGCGGATAGGGAATTGTTGCGCTTGCTCAGGGCAGTGGTAGATAGGTTGCCAGCTGCGTATAGCCAATCAGGGGACGTGCGCAGGGTGCTGGAGGAGGCTCCAGCCGATAGGGCTCAGGCGGGGGGGGGGTTCCGTCCCTCTCTTCCAGGTTGTGAACTATCCCCCTTGGGCATGCATGTCCCAGGGGAGACACGGGATAAGATTATTAAAGGGGAATTTGTGGACTTTTTGTCCCTGGTTTCCCCGGACAGGGATTCTGTGGATCGACCACGTTGTGACGAGCCACAGGACCCTGAGAAGGGTAAGCAAATCCCACGAACGTTTGGGAATTGGTTACAGGGTTTCGCGGTTTTCGCAAGTATTCTGACCCGTCGGTTCCCGGATCTTGGATCTGATTTGGGGTGCGTATAAGGTGTATGGCGGGCAGAGCTGGTTCCGTTACGACCAGCAGTTCCGGCAGAAGATGGCGGCGTGTCCTGGATTGGACTTCGGCACGCAGGATGGCAGCCTGTGGCTGTTACTCATGACGCCTAGTCGTCCGGCGTCCTTTCCACGGGCAGCCGGCGCCGGAGCTTCCTCCGGTGCGCCGACTGGGCAGAAAAAGGGAGTGTGCTGGCTCTTCAATGAGAGCCACTGCAGGTGGTACTCCTCCTGTAGGTTCAAGCACGAGTGCTCGCATTGCAGGGGGGCTCACCCCGCCATGCGATGCTTCAAGAAGGCGAAGCAGTCCATTCCCAAGGCAGGGTCACGAGAGGATGGTTCCAAAGGGGAGGACACCAGTGAGCGTGGCAAGGATGTTGCCATGGCTCGAGGCCTACCCTAAACGCTGCGATGCCGCGGTGTTGGAGGAAGGGTTTTCAGTCGGATTCTGGATCCTCTTTGTCTTCTCGGCGGAGCCACGGTTGGCAGATAATCTTCGGTCGGTCAAGGGTAAGGAGGAAGTTTTGGGTGCCAAGTTGAGAAAAGAATTGTCATTGGGGCGCATGGCGGGGCCGTTTTCTTACCCCCCATTTCCCAACTTGCGGGTATCGCCCTTGGGGCTGGTACCTAAAAAGGAGCCTGGCTCCTTTCGGTTGATTCATCACCTGTCCTACCCGGCTGGGAGGTCGGTGAACGATGATATCGATAAGGAATTCAGCAGGGTGCATTATGCTTCATTTGACAGGGCCCTGTCATTGGTTAGGGAAGCGGGGTTAGGGGCACTCCTGGCTAAATCAGACATCGAATCGGCCTTTCGGTTATTGCCGGTTCACCCAGAATGTTATCACCTGCTGGGTTGTCAATTCCAGGGGTCGTTTTTCTACGACAAGTGCCTTCCCATGGGTTGTTCGATATCGTGTTCTTATTTGAAATGTTTTCCTCGTTTTTGGAATGGTCTGTGGTTCAGTATTCGGGTTTGGATTCGGTGACGCACTATCTCGACGACTTCTTGTTTGTGAGTCTTCGGGAGGGTGACGGATGTTCTCGGTTGTTGTCGGCCTTCCGCGCAGTGTCCGCGTGGTTTGGCGTACCAGTGGCGGAGCAGAAGACGGAGGGGCCAGCCACTAGGCTGTCGTTTTTGGGCATCGAGATTGACACAGTGGACATGGTTTTTCGCTTACCGGACGAAAAGCTAATGGTCCTGCTCAAGCAGATTGACTTGGTAAAATCGGCTCGGAAGGTACAGTTGCGCACGATGCAAGTATTGCTGGGTCACCTAGCCTTTGCTTGCAGAGTCTTGCCCATGGGTCGGGCCTTTTGCCGCTGCTTGTCATTGGCGACGGTTGGTATCAGGGAGGCTCACCATTTTATTCGGGTGTCGGCCAAACTTAGGGCTGACTTGCAGGTATGGAGCGTCTTCCTGGGTAGGTATAACGGCCGATCATGCTGGTTGCGGAAAGCGGTTCCCAATGCCGAACTCGAACTGTATACGGATGCATCGGGATCGGTAGGGCTTGGGGCTTACTTTCAGGGCAAGTGGTGTGCTGCTGCTTGGCCGGCGGCATGGCGTGAGCTGGAGTTGATGCAGAACCTTACGTTCTTGGAGCTGTTCCCCATAGTGGTGGTGCTAGCACTGTGGGGGGACGAATTGCGGAACCGGGTGGTGGTTTTTCACACGGATAACATGAGTGGGGTCCATGTGATTAACCGATCATCGTCTGCATCTCCTCCAGTGCTGGCTCTCTTGCGTCACCTAGTGCTGCTGAGCTTACAGTTTAATGTGTGGTTGCAGTCTCGGCATGTTCCGGGGGTTTTGAATTTGGTGGCTGACTCTCTTTCTCAGTTTCAGTGGGACCGTTTTCGTGAGTCGGCCCCCGAAGCAGATCAGGAGGGTCTTCGCTGCCCGGCATACTTATGGGACCTAGTTTCGGAGGGCTGATGTCCTTGGTGTCGGAATCGTTGTCGGCGGCTACGTGTAAGGCGTGCAGGTCGGTATGGGTAAGTTGGCTGTCGTGTGTGGAGGGGTCTGATCGTATGTCATCGGGGTCTGCCCGGTTCACAGTGACGTTACGCTATATGAGTAGGCTCCTGGAGCAAGGTCAATCATGCGCATCGGCGGAGAGAGCGCTGTCGGCTCTGTCGTTTTTGTTTCGGTTTCTAGGCTGGCGGGACATAACGAAGGAGTTTTGCCTGCAGCGGGTTCTGCGCGGTTGGAGGACCCGGAGGCGTCCGGACCGGCGGCGTCCGATTTCAGTGGAGCTGTTGTGGCAGTTGATGGGGGCGTTGCCGGGGGTCTGTGTCTCGGTATCAGAGAGTCGGTTGTTTCAGGTTAGTTTTGCGCTGTGTTTCTTCGGGGCATTGCGGGTGGGGGAGCTTGTCGCCCCCAATCGCTGTTCGGTTTCTCCACTCCTGCTGTCAGATGTGCGTTGGGCGGATGGGTTTGTGGACCTGCATATCCGCAGATCCAAGACAGATCAAGCTGGTGCTGGTGTGTGGCTCAGGGTGGGGAGCTATGGTGGTGAGTATTGTCCGGTCCGGCTCTTCCAACAGTATATGGCGAGTCGGCCGGTGGCGGCCTCGTTGTTGGTGCATGCGGATGGGTCCCCGCTTACGCGTTTTCACTTCGCGTCAGTGTTGGGTAGAGCTCTGGTGGACTGCGGTCAAGATCCATCCGGGTTCTCGCCTCATTCCTTCAGGATCGGGGCCGCTACTCAGGCTAGCGGTATGGGTTTGGCAGGTTCGGTGGTGCAGCAATTAGGCAGATGGTCTTCTAGGCGGTTTCAGCTGTATGTTCGACCACATTTGTTATAATTTGTTTCAGGTTGCGTCCCCCATTACGTATGGATCTTGGGTCATTCGTTTATATATTGGGCAGCTCGACGGGCTCAGTCTCGCTCCTATGGACGGAACCTAGGGATCTCCATGGACATAGCAAGGGTACGCTGGAGGGGTGTTCGGGGTCTGTCCTGGAGGCAAGTCTATCCGGAGTGCGTGGCCCTGAGCAGGTTCGTGTCGGGGGCTGTTACAATTGTGATCCATGCGGGAGGTAATGATTTAGGGAGGGTTAGATCGGTGGATCTGATGCACTCTGTCAAGCACGACTTGGCCCGGTGTTTGGCACTATTCTCAGACTGTACTCTGATTTGGTCGGAGATTGTTCCCTGTCCTGGCTGGCAGGTCTTGCCGCATGCCAAGGGCCTGGAGCGGAGCAGGCGCAAGCTCAACATGACGATCTCTCGGTTTGTGCGGTGGCTTGGTGGTGTGGCGGTCCGGCATGTGGAGCTGGAGGGGGACTATCGGAATTTGATGAGGGCGGACGGAGAGCACCTGAACCAAACAGGATTGGACATTTTTAATGCGGGTCTGCAGTCGGGTATAGAAAAGGCGCTGGCTGCGGGGGGCGCGATGCCGGGTAAAGAGAGGGAGGGCCGGCATCGCGGTGGCGGAGTTCCTGGCCAGCGCACGTAATGCACGGAAAGGATTTGGTGAGTCGCAGCCTGCTAGGGCTGATGGCCGAAGGAAGGCTGTACGAACTCTGGATAAAGACTTGGAGTATCTGTCTGTTGGGTAGTCACCCCAACAGCTGACAGGTGGAAATGCTGGCTGTGTAAAAGTTTAATAAAGCTGTGGCCGTTGCCCTTACCCAACAATCAGGTGTCATGTCGTTATTGGGGGTAACGGTTTTGGTATTTGGGGTCAGCAGTCATGCATAGTCCACATGTCGGTTTGCTTTGGAGAAATAGATATGTAAAAATATTAAGGGTACGATTCAAATGATACAGACCGCCCACTCAATTTAAAGAGGGATTTAAATTGCGGATGATACGTTAGCCTCTAGATACCATTGATAAAGCCTAAATATTGGAAAAAGGTGTTTTGTGATCAGCTTATATACTACTGGGGGACTCTGGCACCTAAAGGATTTCGAAAGACGCCACCCAGCCAAAGTAAAGTACCAGAAATCGGAGGAACGTCGAACGACGCTGGATTCGGATTGAGAACCGTTTTAGACTATTGTATGTCTGTACAATGTGCATAAAATGTCCACATTCACAAAGACAACTGCAAGGAACGTAGGAAACAAGGGGTCCATATCTGATATTAATCTGGATTAAACTGGTCCATATCTGATATTAATCTGAATTAAACTGGTCCATATCTGATATTAATCTGAATTAAACTGGTCCATATCTGATATTAATCTGGATTAAACTGGTCCATATCTGATATTAATCTGAATTAAACTGGTCCATATCTGATATTAATCTGGATTAAACTGGTCCATATCTGATATTAATCTGAATTAAACTGGTCCATATCTGATATTAATCTGGATTAAACTGGATTTATTTGAAATGTTTCTTGTCTATATTTATTATTTACCGGCCAGCAATATAAATTGAAGTTAGAATATGTTGTGAGTTTGGAACGTGTATAATGACATGCAAGTACTGGTATTTTATATGGGTGCTGTATACAGTATGTGATATAAGCATCATACGAATGAGAAAAATGAGGATTGTTCATTCGTGACCCAACATGAAGATATACACTAAATGTACCAAGTCTGGCCGTCTCTAGTTTTAATTAAGGTGGCCTAACAAGCGAGCTGGATTATTGCTTTCTCGGCACGGCCTCTGTTAACGTTAACAATTCACAATAAGCCAGAGGCGGGTTCCCCTAATAGGGCAAAAAAAATAAATCACATCAAATCAAGCAATGCTGGAGAAGGGGGAATGTCATCCAAATTAAGAACCATCTCAAGGACATTGTCACATCTGGGTCACTTGCCAGTCTCACGGCTTTAACGTCTCTTCCAATGCCAGAAGCACCAGCGATATAAATATAAATTAAATCACACTCCACACGGAGCATTCAGAAAAAAGGATTTCAAGATATTCTATCCCATTTATCACTTTATAGATTTCATCAGATATATTATGTTATTACATGACTTTTTTTCTTTATATATAGACTACAATGGTTTGAGACACAAACTACAGAAGTCACATAAATATGACACGGTGTCCTCTTTATAAAACAAGACATTTGGGGTTAGCGCCAGTTTAACCGTTAAGCACGATTATTATATATATAGTTAAACTGCTAGCAAATGTATAACCTTATATTGAGATTAAATGGACGCTAAAGGCTGGAACTGATCACATTGTTAATGCACTACACCAAAAAAAATGTAAATTAAAATCTTTAAAGCCGAACCTCCCATTATTTCCAATGACTGACAGCACTAAAAGATGTTTATGGGAAATGTGGTTCAGCACTAGTGCTAGAAGCCTTAACACAATCTAGGAATGCAGGCACAGCACAAGATTACAAGATGCAGCTCGCTCAATTCATGGTTTTTGTGAATGGTGCTAAATATGGCCAAAACAAAAGGCACTCTCACTCTCATACAAATTACAGACGTCTCCCAGGAGTAGGTGGGTCATGTTCAGCTTGTGCGTAAAGATCTTTTTGGAGAGGGTACTATGACCAGTGATGTATTTAATTAGGGGATTGGGTTTATTGTTCTAAATGTTTGGGGGTTTTAATAGCAGAATGCCAAGAGACAGAGGCAAACGATCTGTCTGAATCATAAACTCTGCAAGGAGCGTACCTTAGAAGTGCGGAGCGTGCCTTAGTAGTAGGGAGCGTACATTAGTAGTAGGGAGCGTACATTAGTAGTATGGTGCTGGGAGTGTGCTTTAAATATTCCATAAACATATAAAAGTAGACCCTTACCATGGGTTAGTGGGCATGCACAGATTAGGAAACAAAGGGGAACGGTCACTTTCTCAATCCTAGCACAATAATAGCTAATTAAAAAGGAACTATATGTTGTACAAAATATATTTTTAAATTTTTTATAGTTTATTTGATTTTCATTAATATGCTGGGAAGGTAGATCATTTATGCATTGCGCACGCCTTTTCTTCATTACATGCCTGACCGCGCAGCGTCATAGAGTCACAGGCATGTGCAGCAGAGGCAAGCCCTTTTTTAAACTTACATTTGCTGCATTTTCACCTCAGTAAAAGCTGAACTAGCATTTAGTGGAGTGAAGGAACAAGGAAATATTGCTTCACTGGAACTGACAGTTCTGCTAAAAGGCACGTTTACCATTTAAACAACACACTGCGCTCCCTGAATTGTCAGAAATGTACAGAATAAATCGTAGAATTCACCTGAAAAGGAGATCGTGTGTCTATGTCACGGGAAAATTATTTTAAAAAAAATACGTTTACTTATCTCCTATATTTAATAACATGCGTGTGATAGTAAGTGTAGAGCTGGAACTGCGTGCGTCCATCTTGGTTATCTGTCTGTTATGGGTATAAATTCTGCCCCTCGCACCTGACAGCTTACAGAGATGATACAATTGCTTAAATTTAACATTTAAAAGAAAACAGAGCATCACTCTGAAAACAAAGTTAAGAAGTTATACGTGATTTTCAATGTTCTATTTGACGGTTTCATTTTTAAATTTGGGTTTAGTAGGATCAAAGCTATAAATTCAGAAACTATAAGAGAGCCATTTAAACGGCCTGCTTAAACAGAACAGTAACGATATCGCTGCACCGAATAATCGGAATGAGAAGAAACAAAATCAGTGAATATTCCATAAACGTATAAAACACACTGCAGAATATAATGCAGTAATTACTCAGAAGGTTAATGGAGAATACAATGGAACAGAGAGAAGCTTTTCAAACTAATCTGGTTTTATTGCTGACTTTCTGTTCCTCTTTATAACCTGTGCATATCTGATTGTACCAGCCACCAACATACAAAACATTTCAAGGACTTTACTATAGTCCCATAAGGACAGAGTGCAGCCAGTCCGGCATGCTGCTATATTCGTCAGTATGAACAGATACATAGATTGGATTTCATCATTTGTAGGGTCAATATTTATCGCGCTATTTCAAGTCTAGTATAATCTATCGTTCTCGTGAGGATCTAGTGGGTAATGCCTAGGGATTTCTAGAACAGAATTCAGGGTTATTGTCAGAAATTCAAAGTGAATTTTAAAATTTAAAGGGACACTATAAGCACCCAGGTCACTTTAACTCATTGAAGTATTCTGGGTGCAGTGTCCCTGGCTGTTTAACCCAGCAATTTGAAATATGTTTGCATGGCTGCGTTAAGTCCACCTCTAGTGTGTTCCAGACAGCCACTAGATGTGCTTCCTGCTTCCTAATGGAGTTTCACTCCCTGAGATGATGGTGCTTTGACACTTTGCACGAGGAGACTCTTTAATGCGCATGCGGCGAGCAATACGCGTTTGGTCAGACAAGCTAGCTCCATGACATAGCAAGAGGAGGAGACATAGCCAGCAGTGAGGGGTTTTAACCATTTATTTACTAAAGGGGAGGGGGAAGTCACCTTTAAAACAAGGGATTGAGACACAATAGCGTTATCGATACAGTGTTTCTTTAAGGTGAAAATACCCAAAATAGAATAATTCTCCATGTTAATTCGGTCTTTCAGTTTGGATGTTTTGACCTTAAATTAGAATTTCAGTTTGAATTCCCATCCGTTTTCACTTTAGTAAATAGTCCTGTATGACAGAGTATGATAAAAAATTATTTGTCTGATTCATGGATGGACGCGAATGAATGCAAGGAGGCTCTGTTGACACACTACATTAAATCTCTGATATTCTTGACTGGTTTTCGCTTTAATTACAATTTGAAATATTACGTGTGTTTTTCTCTCCACTCACTACGTGTGTGTTAATATTTATTCTGCTACTGTAAGACTTCACAATATTGCCCACTATAACCACTTCTGTACTTGTTTCAGTGATTGTCTCTGTTCTTTCCCCTCCCCTCCTATTTGTTTTTGTACCCTTTTATCCATTTGCCATGGGTAGAACATCTTCGAGAATTTTAAAGAATTGGAAACTAAACCCAATATTAAACTTCACCTTAAGGTACTTCTATCTATTCTACAAGAACAAAAATAAATGAGGCAAACATTAACAAATAAATAAAGTGGCAAAAGCAAATAAGCAGAAAAAAGTAAATAAAAGCGAAGGCTCTGATCACAGCTATGGACATTGCATAGATACTATGTTACAGGCCGCGAGGAGTGTCATGTGTGTACTTCGAATGCTGTGTCATTGACTCTATGGTTTTACTTATCTACGAAACGCACCGTCCGGCTAGGAATACTATAGGAGAATTGTAAAACCTAATGTCTCTGTCTAAGACAAGACAAACATACCTCATCAATAACTAATTGTACCTTTGAACATTGGATTCTGTTTATGTATGAAGAATCAGTGATCGGTGAATTCTGAAACGATCTAGAACAAGTTTTACCTCCCGCTTTCAACATTAGTTCTTTTTCCAAGACCTCCTTACATGTAATTAGGAAGAGCAACAAATTTTTACTGTTTAACATATAGTTGGTACTTGTCAATCTGCCATTAAAGGTAGGGTATCATGTTGTGAATTTGCTGGGTCCAGAAAGTGCCATTTAAAGGGACGCTACAGTCAGAAAACAACTTTAGCTTACTGCAGCAGTTTTGGTGTATAGACCATGTCCCTGTATTTAGAAGGTCATTTATTTTCTTTATGCAGCCCTATTCACACCTCCCTGCATGTGGCCTACACATTGTATAAAGAGAGCTAATATTTAAACTTCCTCTATTGCACAGACTGTTTATTTCAAATGTCTTCTCCCCTGCTATGTTAAATAGCTTACTAGACCTTGCAGTAGCCTCCTGTGTGTGAATAAAGTTCCATTTACAGAGCAGGCAATATAAACTTCTAACGTAAGTTAATGTCTGATTAATACTTGAACCATTTGACACCATGCCAGTGTCAGTCACAGCTAGTGTGGCTAGGGCTGGATGGCCAGAAACAAAGTGATTTAACTCCTAAATGGCATAGAATTGAGCAGTGATCCACACACTAAAATGCTTAATTGAGCTAAAGTTCTTTTGATGTCTATAGTGTCCCTTTAAAGCAGACATTGCTTAGAGCAGGGGTCCCAACCCAGTCCTCAATTACTTTTTCTAAAAACACCTTGGCTTAGACACAACAGGGTAACCCCTAAATCCTGGACTGTTAGGGGGTACTTGAGGACTGGGCTGGGAACCACTGCCTAGTCAAGACCCCCACATTGAGCTGCATTAGGAGGACTGTGATTGGACAGGCACAGAAACAATGGGCGGGGTTAGAAGGGGAGAACGTGAAAGGCTGCAGACGAGATCTACGGCTTTTACAAGCGGTTTTTAGATATAACTCCATTTTAAAAACGCACCATTAAATGAATGTTTTCATTGTAACTGTATCTACTAAACAATGGGGTTTTTAATTTATTTTTTTAATTTGGTCAGTGAAGTGTCCCATTAAACTTACAAGCAAGTTTTCGCCGGCCATAAACCAGTATGGGAAGTCTTGATGGATTCCAATTGGACAGAATCACCAAGAAACCGGAATATAGAGTGGGTTTTAAACGGTAATTTAAGGTTATTAAGCTCCTATAATTTTCATGCAGTGGGAAAATACATACAGACCAATCGGAAACTTGTACCGTGCTTACGAGAAGGGATCTCCTTAAGCCATATCTTTACACGGCTATTTTAACAGTGTTACTCCTTTAAATAATCAGCTTTGTTACCAGCGTCCTGCTGTTCTGTCAAGATTTACATTGTGCTGTGATATTTTACTACTGAACTGTCTGATCCCCACACACCCAATTAATTTATAACAATCATGAGGCATAGGGTGTCACGCTTAATAGTAAACCTTGCTTGTTTATTTGTGCACTCACAGAATGCCAGTCATAGGACATCACAGGCTGCATAGCTTTGTTTAACCCCTTAGACTCAGACAAGGGAGAAGATCAAATGCTATACAGTCCCTATCTAGTGAACCTGCCCTTTAATGCGACCGTTTCAGCAACAGGAAGCCACTGGGAGGCCAATATCGTACGTGAACCTTTGTTTGTTTATTAGTGCCCCCTCACTGCAAAGTGGATAAACTAATGTGAAGACTGTCGGGAATTTAAAGGAACGCTACAGGCACCCAGACCACTTCATGTCATTAAAGTGATGTGGGTGCAGTGTCCCTGTCCCCCTAGCCCTGCCAAGTAGAACATTGCCGTTTGGTTTACACCGCCGGGTTAAGATTGCATCTAGTGGCTGACTCTCAAAGAGCCACTAGAGTCGCTTCCTGGCCTTTCACAGAGTTTCTGACAACATTGGGCATCCTACCGCTTTGCATTAGGACATCCAGAGTCTTCTAAAACCCCATGGGGAGGGTCTAATGCTCGCCGCGCATGCACATTAGGTCCCCCTCATCTGGCATTGGCAGAGGAGCACCTTCCAGCACCAAGGGACATCGGCGCGGGAATTGGGTAGATAAAAAGAAAGGTTTTTTTTTAACACTTTAGCAGCTGGAGCCAGAGGGACACTTTAGTGTAAGAAATATATCTATGTATTCCTAAAACTATAGTGTTTATTTAGGTCAAAACAGAAAATATGGAAACATTCTCAAAGTCAGCTATTCTTCCAATTTGGCTTTAAATTTTAAATTCTTGTCAATTCTCAGTTTAGTGAATAATCCAGTTATTGCTCAATTTAACACATTGCAACTTCAAACATTGGATCCCTTAACATTACAGTCTGACCTTTGATTTACTGTAAAATGATCCTGTTCCTCTTCTCCTTCACATATTGTATATATTATTTTTTTTTTTAAATGACTTGCACAAAACATAAAAACAATAGCCACATTGTAAAGCCTAGATTTTATATAAGATCTGCAAAACCAATTCCTAGCGTTATAGACATACAGAAAACAACCCAGTACCCCTTATCTGTTCATGTAATAGTGGTATCTGTAGTATTCTGAGCTGCAATATACAGTATATCAGTATTAACCAATTTACAATCAGGCACAGTAATAACAGACATACATTGCTGTCACACCCTTATCCCAGGGTCAGGCTAATGATCCTTGCCACCTGGCCCCAATAAAGAAACACTTGCTGAGAACATGCTTGTCAACCAAAACTGCCAAATCACTATGCCAATAAACTCTGCCTCTTACAGATTGCTAGCTCTTGTGCCTAGACTCAGCCAGTGATGTGTCCTGATACATTGTTACATACTATATTGCAATATATATACACACACACAGTGCAGTGTGAGTCCTCCCATGGCCAGTGTTAGCCTAATCCTACAGCTAGCCCTCAGGCAGGGAGGATTTGCTGCTTGGCAGACATGACTGGCCCTTTGTGTGCACTGTGTGTGGTCAGTGTGTGCTTGGCATGGCCTGGCACACTATGAATCCAGCTATTACACAGTGATTGTACCCTGGGAGTCCCTGATTGCTGACATGCCAGGCCTGGGGGCTGCACTGATTGTGCTCCCACCCTCCAGCAATCCCCCCCCCCCCCGGGGGTCCCTTACCTAGTCTCCATACCCGGCCTCCATCATTGTCCCTTTATAGGACCGGTGTCATGGGAAAGTTGTCTCCCTGTGTGTTAGTACATCTCTCGGAAGGAGCACTCAGGCTGTGTGAGGCTGGGAGGGGGAGGGAGGAGGGCAGCTGAGTCCTGGCAGCTCCATAAACAAACACTGACTATCTCCCCTGCAGGTAAAGCCAGCCACATTGTATCCTGTGACTGCCTAATTACTGCCCCTGCAACCAGCAAAAAGCAAGTCTGCATTCCTTATCAACAAATAATAATCTGTTACTGTTCAAATATCACCACCTGCAAATAAAACATTGTATTCTTATTATGGCACTAGTCTAATACTATCCTTACCTTTTTGTGTCATTGTACCCCACTCCCTCTAGCATGTAAGCTCATTGAGCAGGGCCCTCAACCCCTCTGTTCCTGTGTGTCCAACTTGTCTGGTTACAACTACATGTCTGTTCGTCCACCCATTGTACAGCGCTGCAGAATTTGTTGGCGCTATATAAATAATAACATAATAATAATAATACAATGGGTACTTATCAACCATGTAGGTCAAACAAAAATCACCTAATTTTACCTGTGGGGCTGAGAGGGTTAACATGACCACTTTACCCAGCATCTGTGGGACTGAAAGGGTTAATGTGTAATGTTTGGGCGCCTTGAGGTCCCATGTTTTGAACATGGTTAAAAGGATAACACAAAACATTACACGTAATCCATCCGCGCATGTACATACTGTGAGTTTGTGAATGATTGAGCACCCAGGCAGTCATACACTATATACTGTGTATACAATTGTCTTTATGTATCGATATGTGGAACACAGCAAAATTACAGGTAATATTGTCTGAATATACTGGAATAATATGCTACCTGTTCTTGTATGTTATTTGAGGTTACCCGGCTATACATACACTCTATGTATGATTCTACTTCAGTTACAGATAGAGAGAGAGACACACACAGAGAGACATGCACAGCGGTGATTAATGTAGTGGTTCTGGTGTCTATGTCCAGTCCCTGCAGGCTGAGGGATGTAAGCCAAGCCCTTTCAGCGAAAAAGCAGTGTTTATATTGCTACCTTGCTAAATAGCAATATTTGAGTGACTCTAGGTGCAGTCACTCAGATCGCCACTAGAGGTGCTGTCTATTTCAGTGCTGATGTAATGATTCTCTATGAGGAAATGCTGATTGGCACAGCACAATGTATTGCTGCGCATGCACAATAGCCTCCCAATGCATTCCCATGGAAAAGCATTGGATTGGCTGAGATTGGCAAAACTGATGACGTCAGCCATGGTGGCTAGACCAGTCACAGTGAGACCAGTGCGGCAATGGAGAAAAGGCGAATAAAATACCTTTTTACTCAAATCTGAGGGGGCCAGTGGCCTAAACAGCATTCCGACAGTGTTAGGAATATATGTTTGTATTCCTAACACTGTAATGTTTCTATATCAATAGTGTGTATTTACTAACCCTTTCTGTTCCAGATCTATCATGTTAAGTAGTCATGCATTAACCCTTCAGTTCCGTAAGGATAATAGAACGCGGCGATTACTAGGAGGCTGAAGTGGTTAATGAATACACATTGTATAGAAATATAATGTGTTTTATACCCCACCTCCTATAGACTGTAAGCTTGTTTGAGCAGGGTCCTCTTCAACCTATCGTTCCTGTAAGTTTTCTTGTAATTGTCCTATTTATAGTTAAATTCCCCCTCCCATAATATTGTAAAGCGCTACAGAATCTGTTGGCGCTATATAAATGGCATTATTAATAATAATATGAGGATGGAATGTTCTAATTGCAGGTGGTGATAAAAGAAGAATAAAATAAAGATTGAATGATTTCATTAGAATAAATGCAGACTTGCTTTTTGTCCATTGGAGGGGACATTAAATAAAATGCCTGCTCTCTGCAGGACAAAAGGTAAAGGATTTTACGTGCAGGGAACATAATCGGAGATGGTTTATTGATCTTTCAGGACTTTCATCAGCCACACTCTTCCTCCCCCCACAGCTCTTCAACTGCTACTTCCGGGGTTTGGGATCGGCTCTTTCAGGAGACCCAAGAATGGTCTCTCGGTAATTTTCGGAGCTGGCCAATGAGCCTGCGTATCACAGCCAGAACGCTGGAAGCCTTTTGATCAGCCATCCTTCTTATGGGCATGTCCTTCACACTAGCAGGATGTACCTCGACCTCCATCTTAGTTGTGGCAAGTGTTTCCCTTAATGGAGGAACACTATCACTACTCTAATATGCAATTTAAAATTACAGAAGTCGTCAAATGAAGTCATGGTATTGATCACGGATACTTTAGATAAATAATACCCATTATTCTCTTTTTGGTGCATGGATCTTTCATATACTATAATCATTACAGCACGATGTAGCAGTTATGATGCCAGGAGGGCCCTGGCACCCCCCCATTGTAAATGGTCAAACCAGTTTAAAATACACAAAATTTAATCCTGCGCCCAGACTCCCACCACTCCTGGGCAGCAGCAATGACCATAGTACACATCAGCCCCAATACATAGAATAAAAACCAAAGGAAAGAGTTACCTGCGCTCTTCCCAAATCCCTGCACATATTTAAATAACTAGAAGATTTTAGTACCACTCAAATGGTCATTAAATGTCGGCCCACCTGCCACGTCAAGACAAAACTCTTATGTGAGTCCTACACTGACTATTCACCTGGCTACCTTCAGTTTCAGGTAAAAATTCTCTGAGACAGAGTGGGGTATTTTTCTAAACCCCTACACACTTATTAACACTAAATAGGGAACGCATGGGGTGGGCAGCAGCATTTAACATGTCTGTGTAATCAGGGCCGTCTTTAACTTTAATTGGACCATGGGCAAGCATTTGCTTGGGCCGCCTGACTACATATAGATACACACAAATACACTACCTGACACACATGCAGATACACACTGACCCCATATAGATACACACAAGAACATACAAATACACACAGACTACATATAGATACGCTGACACACAGATAGACACACACACAGATACATAACCTGACACACATGCAGATACACAGATACAAACACTGACATACATGCAGATACAAAGGTACACAGACTGACTACATATAGATACACCGACACACACACTGACACACATACAGACACATAGATACACAACCTGACACACATGCAGATATACAGATACACACTGACTATATACAGATACACACACACAAACACAAATGGACAACATACAGATACAGAGACACATTCTGACAGAGACACACACAGACAGCCATACTGAAACACACAGACATACAGAACCACATGGACACTGACAGACTCACACATAGACATACCGACACACTGACAGACATACAGACATTCTGGCATACATACACACAGACAGACATACTGAAACACACATACACAGAGACACTGACAGACATACACACATACAGACATTTTGACACTCACAGACAGCCATACTGAAACACATATACACACATACATACTGAACCACACAGACACTGACAGACTCACACACACAGACATACTGACACACTGACAGACATACTGGCACACACAAACTGACAGACATACTGGCACATATACACACAGACAGATGGACATACTGAAACACACAGACACTGACAGACATATTGACAAACACAGACATACAGAACCACACGGACACTGACAGACTCACACAGACATACTGACACACTGACAGACATTCTGGCACACGTACACACAGACAGACATACTGAAACACACATACACACAGACACTGACAGACATACACATATACAGACATTTTGACACTCACAGACAGGCATACTGAAACACACATACACACATACATACTGAACCACACAGACACTGACAGACTCACACACACAGACATACAGATACACTGACAGACATACTGGCACACTGACAGACAGACATACACACATACTGACACACACACACACACACTCAGACACTCATGCAAAATTTGATAACCACCCTCCAGTTTCTTATCTTTTCCTGTAGGGTGGGTTCCCTGGGGTCCAGTGGGCTGGCTTAGGTGGCTGTGAGTTAAGCTTTCCCGGCCTGGCCCCCTCCGTAACAGCTGTTCTTCCTTCCCCCGAGCGGCTCCTGTTTCTGTGGGAGGAAGTGACGCGCGGCTGTCACTTCCTCCCAGTGCTGCCGAAAAGCAAGGGCCCGGTTGCGCTGTTAAAGCGCCACAGCGCCCGACCGGGCCCCGGCTGACACAGGCCCACCAGGTGACCCTAAGTGCATGGGCCACCCAATGTGCCCCCATAGTTTGCGGGCAGAGGGCAAATGAAGCAGCTGTCTTGGGCCCCCCCAGCAGGGACAGGGCCCGGGGCAGCTGCCCCGTTTGCCCTGTGTGTGATGCAAAAGTAAATACAAAAACACAAAAATAAGTCCTGCGCTCAGACTCCCACTACTCCTGGGTGGCAGCAATGACTATAGTATACATCAGCCCCAATACTACAAAACAAGCAAAGAAAAAAGTTACCTGCGCACTATTTAACCCCTTAAGGACACATGACATGTGTGACATGTCATGATTCCCTTTTATTCCAGAAGTTTGGTCCTTAAGGGGTTAAATAACCACCAATTATCTAAATATGCATGGCGAGTTGGGATTGTGCGACCGTAGCTGTTGTCGAGGTGGGGAGTGGGACCTTGCAGACCCCAGGTATGAGGTCAAACCATTGTAAAATAGTTTAACTTTCTACAATTGGAGGGCCACAGGGCACATAACCACTACACCTTGGCATTCTCCTAGAGTAATCTGTTAAATTTTTTTAGTACGGTTTATCAACTTACCTGAGTGCACCAGGCGCCTTTGCCTGCACCCCTGCTTCTGGATTCTCCTTGTGGGAGAATTTAGTTAGCCCCCCAGATCTAAGCAGGGCCACGTAGGCCGGCGCTGATTGGCTGAGAGTGTGAGCTGAGCCCCATCACACAATCAGTGTGGCTCTGAATAAGACGTGCTTAGCTTAGTGAAGACATTTGGCTTTGCCTGGAAGACTAAATGTGATGAGTGCACCCAGGTAATTTGTCGAACCAATTTGAAATGATTTGACAAATTACTCTTGGAGAGGGTGACAGGTCTCTCTTGGCACCATAACCTCCCCAGTGAGTCTTCCTTTAGTTATTAAATAATGAGGACTATGTATATTTAGATCAGAGATTTTTTCAGTGTATAGGTG